GAACTGGCCGACTATACCTGCCACAGCATCTCATTTCCCTCCATCCAGCAAGCCAGTTCAGTTGTCGACCTTCAACCAGATATCGAAGCTGTTAGATCCATCACTCAACAAGAAGCAGATGCTGGCCATGAAACTGTCATCATCGCGCACAGTTGGGCCGGGTTACCAGTGAGCAGCGCGTTGGATGGACTAAGCAAGTCAGAGCGCGAAGCAGCCGGCCAAAAGGGTGGCGTCGTGAAACTCATCTTCATCGCCGCGTTCCTACCTAGTATTGGCGAGGGTCTGATCGGCGCGTTTGGTGGGATGCCCCCGCCGTGGTATGTGCGCGATGTAAGTTGCCCGCCGATCTTTATTTGCAACTTGCAAAATGTCTATGTGACCACTAACATTTATTCCAGGAAGAGAATGGAACTGTGACTGCCAGCGATGCGCTCGTGCTGTTTTTCCATGATGTTGTCGATGGTGCGGAGTGGGTTAAGCTTCTCAAGCCACATTCTTGGGCGACGCAGAATGCCCCCGCTACCGGTGCGGCGTACATGAACATTCCCTCCGTGTATCTTTTGACTGAGGAGGATCGTGCGACTCCGTTGCCGGTTCAGCAGGTACTGGTGGAGCGGGCGCGGCGGAAGGGGGCGCAGATTGAAACTGAGAAAATTAAAACGGGACACACGCCCTGGTTGGCTATGCCGGGTCAGGTGGTTGCTTACATTAAGAAGCATGCTACGGAATAAGAGGGAACTAGCTCTTCTTTACAATGATGCAGGTCGTCATTCAATTTGCAGATTTGCAGATACCTTACTCTCATGTTTAGTGCAAGGGATAACTAAGAGAAGAGACACAGAATCATATTGACCCATTTCCAATAAATTCAAGAGAGAGGACGACCACCGAAAATGATGTATATACCAGTGACTAGCATTTACAATATACAACAACATGACCAAATAGCACTGAGATCAACCTATCTTTCTCAGGTGCTGCTCTTCCTATGCGACAGCTTATCCACAAAGCTCCTCAGCTCGTGGAAGCGGCTCGGCTTCTTTCCATCCTCCTTGCTTTTTCCACTTTCCACAGGCTGCTGGACTGGTGTAGCATCGGCCTCAACGACAGACTCCTTGGCAGAGCTACTAGAGCCGCCGCCAATAGTGACTGTCAAGAGCTTTGGATTCCCATCAAAAACACTACCAGACTGATCGGGGCCATCGTTAGGCGCAACATCATCATAGGGGAATGCATAGCCCCGAGTATCAAGATTCACAGAGTGACAGATGCGCGAATAGTGGTTTGTCACCGAGTTCTTGTAGTAGTTGGAAACTGTCTCCCCGTTCGGCTGGTTGCCATTTATCAACAAGGTTGATCGATTGAACGCAGCCGCGAGACGAGCTGTAATGGCGTCTTTGGTGCCGTTCCCGGAAACAGCAAAGGATCCAGTACTGTTGCTGAAGATGTCTCCAGTAGAAGGCTTGGTGTAAGTAATACCTGGAACTGAGAAGGACAAGAGATCGGAGGCAACTTTGGCGGTGACATCACCGGCATCAGCCTGCGTGTTGACAGTCAAAGTATTGTTGGTGCTGTTTGCATAGTGAGACCAAACTTCATTCACGTAACCCTCGTAGTAATTGTTGAACAAAGAATTATTGAGGGTCCTTCCCGTGTTGGGTGAAACGGCCCGCAAATTGACCCCGTTTCGCTGGATTACGAGCTGGTCCCAGCCGGCTTTATCCTTGTCGTTCTGTTCTTTGAGAGCCTTGCAGACTAGGTCGAGACCATTGGCTGGCAGACCCTTGACGGTCTGGGTTGCACCAGCTCCGTTGGTTAGGGTCATGGCGATGGGCATCGACACGAAATCGACGTAGCTGAGATTCGCATAAAGTTGGTAGTCATTCCAGGTAAATTCGCAGAAGGACCATATCAGATTATAGTTAGGGTCTGCTGGGTTGGATACCGAAGGCTCAACAAGGGCAGGGCCAGGATTCAGCAAGAATGTCAATTTACTGTCTCGGATGAACCACAATCGTGCGCCTGCGAGGTGCGGGATAGTGATCCTGGTGGTACTGCCAGATGTACCTAGCGGAATCGCACAATCCTCGCTCAGGCTGGTCCCTGTGGACGATGGTGAGGTCGGATAATAGGCTGTCTTCCCATCAGATCGCAAGAGGAAAAGCGCATTGTTTTTATCAAGCGCTTGGCCTGTAATGTAGGCGTAGACCGTGTTGGAACCGGTGTTGTTTTTCAAATCAAAGTTTAATGTTGCCATTTTGCGTGATATCAATACCCTGCGGTGTTGGAAGAAGAATTCAGATGGACTGAGGTCTTGAAATGATTGGCGCAGAAGTCCAATAAGAAAGCCGTATCAAGATCCACAAGGCTGCCGATGAGGGGTTTGAAGTTGTTGCCGACATTTTAGGTCGCAATAGAGGCCACAATATATACTATCGCTCGACGTCCTTTGTTGAGTTCGTGCCAAACTCATGGCATCAGGTAGGGCAGGGTGACCAGGACCCTGTGATACAACGTGGCGATGACCTCACGTTTCTCGGGGAGGGTGGCTTCGACCCTATTGGAGCGGCTACCTCATTTGACGATCATCGTTCAGAACAGGCTGCGCGTCAATATCAACAACAGTATATACCAATGTCGATCTAAGCCACTCGCGGGACGGCACGATCATGCCGAGTTTCCAGGTGATCCAATTCCCACCTGTTCATCTTGGCTTATTTATGCGGGGAACAACATCGAGCTAAATATTATGTGGAAACTCGATAAGTTTACGAATGGAAGGGCTGACCAAATACCTGACCTTTAAGGCAACCGATTTACGACACGCATTCCTATCAAGGGGGACGCGTGAGATTTCCAGGTTGGCCTAATGGCCAGCATCAGGTCATTCACGCTTTTATTTTATTGGCCAATACAACCATTTGATATTCATATACCACCACGAGACGATCATTAAGATTTTGCTCAGCTTTAAAATGTACACTAATTTTGAATTGCTTTTATTAGATCATATGACCGTTAATCGTGGTTTTCCCGGTACCCGAGTCCTGAGGCTCAATAACCTCGCAACGCACCGCAGCCGCCCAACGCCTAGGAGTTTGAGAATAAGTACAAGGAATGCTTTAGTTTAATGGATTTGAGGGGTTTGTATTTTAAAAAATGGTATCCCGTCAGAGGAAAAGAATATTATCACGCGGCACTAGAACATTGAAAGCAATATAAACCTGGAAGATGATCAGATGCTAGGATATCCCCTCTATTCTCTCTTGGCTTAGTTAAATATCAGATATTCCAACCACTTTCTAGAGTTCCCCCGATATACTATGATGACTAGGAATATTAAAATGTTATTTGCACTAAGCGGAGATTTTCATTTCAGTTGAAGAGACACCTTCTAACGTTGTATAGACTTCTCGATAGGGTACCAAAAATGCAATGAAAGATGGGTTTCCAAGACTTCTATCAAGCCTGTTGTTTTGAACTATTTGACCTCACTTTTCTTGGAATTCCTTCTATGACGTTTGTATCCATCCCGACCACTGTATTCGGATATAACAAAGATGCAATATGCTAAAATCCATATTCAGATCAACTCACATGTCATTTCCTAGCAATATCCAAAAGTAGCAAATGGGAGGAGATTTTATCCACGTGTTTTATCTTACGTTTTCAAATCTCGAAACAAAACCATCCGATGAACGTTAAATTGCCTGGGCAAGGCGCGGCACATTCCGTAGAAAAACCATACCTCGATTTCAATCCTGATGTTTATGTATAGGTGAGAGTGAAGCATCACCGGAGCATTGCTATTCAAGTAGAGTTGCCTCGGCGTGTCTAGACCCTTTCCAAGATCTATAAGTGGTGATCTATCAAAGTTGGTGTTTGTACGACACCGATTAACGGCCAAGTCAGGAATCATAGTCACACATTTCAATTTGATCGTAATTACGCCAATGCCTTAATTTGCTCGAACTCTGGCTGATACCGACTACTGTAGTGCTATATCATCACCGACACTAATGAGAAATTCGCACTTTATTTGGTTTAGCGGGCCCACAGTAGACATTGTGATCAACTCTACTGAAACAACATGAGGAGTAAATCATGCAGGACTGTAGCACATGGGGGTCCCCTTATCTCTGGTAGTAATAGCTCAAATAAACAGTTGACGGAGAGTCGTCAGTATAAAAAATTGGCAAGGCGTTCCCATTCTAAAGCCCCGAAGTCAAATTTCCTGGGCAAAGAGACAAGAGACAAATACATACTTGAGACTTGACAGGCAGGGACTTTCTCAACCCGCATGATCTCCAATTTATTCACTGGGGACTCAGCAGACCCAGCGGATTCAGCCATGCCTAGGAGACAGAGTATATCTATATAAAACCCGGCTAACCCGAAGCTATAGATAAGTCAACCTCAGACTGGGCATTAACCTTCCGCGGACACAGCGGAAACAACAAATTACAGAGCCAGATTTTTACGGAGTATATTTAGAACAGAAGAGCGGGTGGGCTAACAATCGTACTGTCGGCACTTTAGTATTTGTCTTGCCTCAGCAAAATCCGCATTAAACAAAGCCATTATATTGTTGGGAAACAGATGTCTCTACGATTGGCTAGGGAGAGTTCCCGGCGTATCTTTGTTCGATATCATACAGGACGATAAATGGCCATTTCACAATGACGCCACTTGGGGCTGGGGAAAGACTTGAGCCTCTGGGGCCAAGATTCGTCAGGTTTCTGACGTCGCTGTCAGCCAATCTGACATTTACTGCGCCTCACCGACCAATGTAAACACCGACTACATCCATTTAGAAATATCGAGTGAAATATGATGATGTTTCAATGAGCTTCGAGAGGCATTGTCGATTGAAGCATTACAGTGGTGCCGGGAAATGCCGTTCTATTATTTCTACGCTGATGTAGATATCGGGAGCCACGGCAGCATCTCATACTCCCAGCACGGCCTCATGGTCCGGACTAAGCGATGGTCAAAGAACCATGGTAATTCGCTCGAGGACACGGGTAATCAGAGCCGTTTTGTGTGAGGCACGGTTCTTAATGGACAGACACCGGCCGCGCCGGAATAAAGCCGAGCAGCAAGATGGCGCACTGAAGGGGGCATTCGCTGTCTTCCATATCAGTATTCCCGAGAACTACCGAGACAAGCTGGTGGAGACAGATGATCGGGGGAAGTCTGATCGGCGTTGAGTTAGGCCAACCTGCAGAGAAGGGGGTGTTTCAGAAATGACAAGGGGAGGTGAAAGAAAGTGACGTTTCAATCTCAAAATTGCTCTAATTTACATCTCACAGCTTGGGCCGAGATTAGCAGGGTGGTGAATTTTTTTTTCCTTGCGACAATCGCAGCGGGGCCTCATAAGCCCTAACGGTGGGCATTTGGCGATTTGCGATTTGATATTCCAGATGTCTCAGCACGATCTCATACCGGTTGGTCCCGAACGCAAGGGCGTATCTATTTTTGTATAAGGGCTTCCCTTGCTGCGAAGGGACTCGTGCAGTTGATCTCCCACGATCGAAAGTCAATAATTGAAATCAATAATGAAAGCAATAAAAGATTAAAGATTTGAGATTTGAGATTTGAGATGAGTACGGAGTACTCCGTAAAGGGTCCGGCCCTGGAGTCAAAACGCCTAGGGGATCTCCTAGCGAACCGATCGCTGTGGAAACCGTTCCAAACAAGAATAGTGAGGATGAAATGATTGGTAGACAATTGCAGATAGAAAAAAAAAGGGAAAAGAAAAGAAAAGAAAACCTGAAAGGACGAAAGCGAAGGGACATCTCCACCAGCCTCCTGGGGCCACGCCAGCGTTTCAATGCTTGGCGTATAATAATAGCATAGCCTCTTTTAGGGCCCCCGACGCATCTTTTGGAAAGGCTGGCGCGCTTTGTCCATTTTCTCTCATTCCTCGACTCTTTTGAAATCCGGGGATTTTATTCCATGCCTTCCATTAAGGATTTCTAGGCCCAGTTGCCTGTCCAACATTATGTACATTCCACAAAAACGTCAAAATGACAAAAATGGCAATGATAATAAGAATACCATATTCATTATCGTATGTTATTTCCGATCATTCCGACCCCCTAAGCTGACCTCATTGATATTTAGTGTGCTGTGAGCATCATATTTGCTATCGCACTCTGTGTGGGCATCTATTTCCTCCTACGCTATCTACGAAAACATCACTACGAACCAAAATACCTTCCGGGGAAGTTCCTCAAGCGGAAATGGAAAGCATGGGGTCCAAGGAAGGCATCATACGGCCAGGTCCCGAATCAAACCAGCGCCCAAGATACCTCTTATCCTGGAGCTGGCCCAGCACCAGAAATGCAGACCACTGATGGCGTCCGCCGCGATACCTCGATCCGTTCAATTATGACCCTCCCCCCGTATTCCCAAAGCCCAAAGCCGACCGAACAAGTCATCGCCCGAGAGGGTGAACGCGCCGGGATGGATATGGTCGTGGAATATCCGGAGACGGCGGAAGAACAGGAAACTCGCCGCGAGGAACAAATGGACTCGATGTACCAGATTCGCCTGCAGCGCCGTCAGGAACTAGCCGATCGCGAGGCACGTCGTCGGGAGCGACGAGATGCTCGGACGCGTGGGGATTTTGCTCGCCTCGAACAGTTGAATGCCGAAGCTCGCGCTCGGACGGAGCGTCGCCGTACAGGAACCAACAGTGCAGTCGATGTATCCAGGGTCCTCGCTGAACATCAGGCGAGAGAGCGGGACCGACGCATCTCCAGTGTTGCCTATGCGGAACTTGGACGTGTTCGCCATGATGGATCACGGCTTCGAGCCGACTCGCACAATTCTGACAATCATGATTCGGATAGCCGACCGCTGTTGCAAAGTGACGCTGTTAGCTCCACCGCCCAATCCTACGAACGATCCAGCGTCGACCAGTCCGGTGCTTCGTTATTTATGACCGAATCGCATAATTCTACTGAACTTGAACGACTGACTCTTGCTCCGACCACGACACAAGGCTCGACCCGCCCAGAGTCACAAACTGACGACGGAGATCTGGGAATGCTCAACATTCCTCCGCCTCCCGACTACGAGCACTTGGACTGGGGTGATGCCCCGGCGTATCAAAGCCCTGTTACGGAACAGAATGAACAAGCGCGGCAGCTCCCACCTATCGACCGTTTGCCTTCGATCCACGTCAATTTGCCCAGTCCTATGACTGTATCTCCCGTGACGCCGACTCAGGCGCAATTCCAGACTATCAATATCAACAATGATGGACCTCCAACACCGACGGAGCAGACCCCCGGAATCCGAATCGTCTCAGCGGGATCGACAACTACCACCCGTGGTCCACCGCCCATCCAAGATTCGACCACTCCTGAAACCAGCCATTAGGTAAACCCTATCAGGAAAAGACTCATAATATACCGCACAGCACGCGCACGATTCACGACCTGTATTAGCATTAGTCTCGGGGGCTTTCGTCCTCTCTCTCGCTCACTTGATTTCCTCCTTTTTTCCCCCAGCGACTTTCCAATTTATATTGTTTACTCGGCTAGCAAGGCGTTCTGAATTTAGGTGGCTAGCGAAGAACATTGCTCTACAAAGATATATAGGGCTGCTATCAATGTATCTACAACTTTCAATATATGTGTGAAATGGAGATCAATAATGCACTTGACTTATATTTGCCAGTTCCTACGCATGTATATTCCGCCACACCTCTCTAGCCCATCTCAGATACCCATCTTAACACACCCATACTCACAACCGCGTCGCACACCACCAAATCATGTGAATATTCGACTCGCCCCAGGGCGAGTTCTTCGTCTACTCAATCTTCTGCGAAGTAAAGGCCCGCCTCTTGTTTCCACCGTGTTCCCGTCACTTCGCTCACATCCCACAAAAATACCTTCGTAGACTCGATATTGTAGGGATACTACATAACCCCATCCTTAATCTCTTTCAATCTCTTTCATTTCATGATATCCCGCCAAGACACTCCCAGTCTACGACCAGTAACCATAACCCCGGTTTGACTACAACGCCACCCTACCAACTGCATAGCAGCTCGAACATACGTCTTACTCATCAAGCTCAAAATTCAAATCGTGCACGGAGTAATATGTCATAAGATACAAGTGACGAGAAGAGAGTGGCAAGCTAACCTGCTAGATATGTCCAAATTTCTCCCCCACAGACATGTTTGGCTCACTGGGCGACCAAAACAACAACAGCTGTGTAAGTTGCAGCAACATAATTATGAACCTGTTCCACACGCAAGCCCGCACTTTCCGCAAGTGCCTCCCACTGGAGCTTGGTCCGTTCTTTACCAGCAAAGGTCATCATGGCAAGATCGGCCACGGCTGATTGCCAGTTAGCGCCAGTATCCGGCAACACGGCATCATCGATCAAGACCCGCGAGTCGGGGCCCATGGCGGCACGAATATTGCGGAGGATCGTTGCGGCTTTGTCGTCAGGCCAATCGTGCATGATTCTACGGAGGTAGTAGAACTTGGCGCCTTGATTAAAGAAAATGTCAGCTTTTGATGTTACCTTCCAGAGCTGCATCCAATGGATAAATGGAGACAAACCGATGATAGGCTGCGGTTGGAAAAAGTCATAAGCTTCGGCCTTCACGCCCTCAATAGGAGCGAGATTCTTCACTGCCTCTGGCAAGTCCTGGAGAACAAGGTAACCTAGGAGGTTCGGGTACTTCTTTCCAAGCTCGATACATTGGTGGCCGTGGCCGCCACCAACATCGACGAAGAAGGGTTTCTCCGAAGCCTGTGGGGTGGATGAATCCTTGGATGAAATTTTACGCGCTTCATCATCAAAAAGATTGAATCCCTCGGTCCATTCTGACCCTTGAAGTGCAGTCATGATCTTTTGCAGGTTTCCGAAGTGCTTGGGGTTCTGGACAAGCCACTCGAATGAGGTGAGTTTAGTATTGTGGGCTTTCTGGAACGGGGTGTTGGTATTAACGGTGACATCTTGATAGTTGTTTTCAGCAAAGAAGTCAGGCATTGCTTGCATGACAGGTCCAATAGTGTCGTATCTAAGGTTATATGATGATAGGTAAGCATGGATGTTTGCCAGGTGGGGGATACTATGTAGCTTACCCGTGGTAGATCATGGCCTCGCCCTTGGGATCAGTCAAAATATGAGTGATGCTGTTTGCAGTGTACTCATTGACTCCGGTCTCTTTAATCACGTCCACTCCAGCTAGGTAACGAAGGATTCTCTCTGAATGTAACAATTGTTTTAGAACTCGAAGTAGATACGGTCGTCTCAAAGGTCATTACCTAGGAGGGCAGGAGACGCTCCAGTCAGATCCCCAATTTGAGTGACAGTCAAGGGTTTATCACTTTCTGTGAGATGGCGAAGGAGTCCCAGGTCTGCACTGGTTCGGAGCATCGCACTCGTTAGTCCCTGCAACTATCAGCACTTCAGGTACTCCCAAGCTATAGTAAATGACCACGAACCGGTACTGCAAGCTCCAAGAAGGTATCATGTGGAGATTGAAGTTCAACCTTCACTTGCTTGAGTGCCCGAATGATGTTCAACCGACCAGCTTCATCGGTGTTTTGAGCGATAGCTTGGATCTGAGCAACGATGGAGTCCATGTTGACACAAATGGCATAAGAAGAATCTTAAGGTAGAGAAGGATATGAAGAGAAAGGCCGATATGATGGATCATTATGAATTTCCTAGTGAAAATCAGCTCTTATATACCCCTCGTCTCACATATAATTTCCTTAGTAGAAATCCATGGACCCCGCGGAACTTCCGCGGATTCGCCGGGCTTTGATTGGTCAACTTCATCAATGACATCTCGCCCCCATTTCACCCCCTCGAACTCCCAGGCCTCAACAAACACTGCCTCGTTAATATTCAAGGGCAGAGATGCATCGAATTGAGAAAGAGCGTGTTAGATCTTCACGCTCACGACCTGTATCTTGCCACTTCTGTCGATCGAGGAAGTTGAAGTGTAGTCGGCAATTCCCTTGCTCCAACTGCACGAGTCGCGGCAAGACTTGTCAGCTCTATCCCAATACAGCATTATCTGCCAGTCCTCAGTGCCAGACTGATGGGTTGCCCGGTAATGATCATACAGATGTACTGGCCCGCTTACGGCGACTAGAAGAGATAGTGATCACCAATAGACCAGTGTATAGTCCACTAGTCCAAGGTACTACACAGGCTTCGTCACTCCCTTCTCCTCCTGACCCAATATCAAATCAACCATACATGATTCAAGGAGGACAGTCATCTGCAGCGGCTGCGACTTGGCTAGAAGGCGAGATCACATCGTCCGGCTCACTGGTAGGCCTATCTTGATGAAACCAAATGAGGGGTAATTGATCGCTAACAAAAGTAAAAATGTACAGGGTAATCTTTTAAAGTATGAGATTGAATTCAGAATTTGTCCCATTCGTAATGCAGTGGGATCTGAACCAATGGCATATCAAGCCCAGCCCATGAAAAGATGTATCTGGCTGCCACTTCACAATGAAGCGAAAATAATACTGGAAAAGTACATCACAGAGATTACGTTCCTCCACCATGTGGTTCATATTCCCTCAGTGCGTACCATGGTAGATGAACTCTATTGTGACCTGAGAGAAAGCAAGCCGGTCAAGATTGGATACGTTTCCTTGCTCCTTGGCATTATCGCCAGTACCACCTTATTCTGGACTGAACGCGACATGTGCAACCCCATCTTTTCGACTGCTGAAGAAGCAGTTGCCCAGTCTATACAGTGGATGAGACTTGCAATGGAGGTAGTCGATTACTCGCGTTACAAACACTTCGAGTCAATACACGATATCCAAGCGATGGTCATTCTATTTTTTGTGACAACCAACTTCGTGGGAATTACATCCCAAGCACGGCATATGATTTCCACCGCCATCTCGTTTGCAAGACAACTATCGTTGCATCGGATCGATTACCCACACAATTCCAATATGGATATGCCTTCACCTTCCTCCGCGAAAGCAGAGATATGTAGAAGAGTGTGGTGGTATCTCGTCGCGTCTGATTGGTAAATTTTCTCTTTTTTCCCTTCTTATAAGAATGTGAGTTTATTCGATAACAGGCAGATGTCACAGATATCCGGCCCACAGAAGGGTACGTATTCAATTGATCCACGCCACATGATGACCAACAAGCCTTGCAATGCAAATGATGAAGATATTGTAGACGGGATGGTTGGGGTTGGGAAGCCACTCACACATCCCACATCGATGTCGTACTGTCTCCAAAGGATTCGATTAAGCGAGTTTTGCCGCGAAATCACAGATCGTGCCCCATTTGGAATGTCCGATCCAGGAGGCCCGGACTATGAGCACACGAAACAGATTGACGTTAAGATTTGTGAATTTGCCGAGAGTCTACCCTCGTTCTTTTCGTTGGACTTTAGATCGGACGAGCTGCCAAAATCCGACCCTCGGAGATCTCCCGGAATAATCATCCAACGATACAAAATCAATTTTCTGTTGCATGCGCAAAGGTGCAGATTTCACTTGCCTTACTTGTCACGAGCGTCGAAGGATCCTACATATGTTTACTCACGGAAAGCTTGTCTGGAAGCTGCTCGAATGGTGATCCGAACCGAGCGCCAACTCTCGGTGGAGGTGATCCCCTTTGTGGCGGCGCGCCTGAAATTCCCAGGCTTACTACATTGCATCGGCGTGGCTATTATTGTTCTCCTCATTGACTTTTGTGGGAGTGGTGATCCGCAGGAAAAGGACATAACGGAAACTTTGGAAGCATTTTCGATTCTAGAAAACGCGAAAGAGAAATCTCCTCTTGCAGGAAAGCTGCTTGAAACTTTCAAAACGGCTCTTCGCCGGCACAGTGCTTCGGGTTCAGCCATTGAGGGAAATACAACAACGCAATCCACCGTTCAAGGCCCCGAGACTTCGCCAGGACTTGCCTGTGGTTCTCCGGCACCCCCAAGCATGGTATATCCGACAGGCGGTAACATCGATGACTTCCTAATGGACCCTACTTTCCCTGCTCTGGATGATCTTTGGCAGGTATTCGATGACAATGTGGACCCAGGAACAGTGGACTGGAACAGCTTCTTTGCCGAGTCGGATACTACATTTCTGTCTACGTAGTATTAGTAGTAATCAAATTACCGGTCTCGGCCTAGGATTTGAGATCCGTGGCACTATGACGCATGATATATCAATTGATTTTATGTAAACAATTTCGTCATTCCTATAATATAATTGAACTCCACTTCGCTATCCAGTCATGTCATGTCCACATTGGGATCAACATAACACGTCGGGTTAAACTTCGTAGATATGCTAATAAACGGGGGAGACGGTCAACTTAACAGTGACCGTCCATGGGTAGGGTAGATCGCTACAATCTATACTAATAAGAGCGGGGCAAATGAAACAGTGACTTGCTATGCATTGTAAGTCCGGTATATTAATCTTAAACTTGTTTAGCATATCTAAATTTATGTCATGGTATCCAATCAGATGCGACTAGTTATATACCATTTTGCGATCAATGGATGGCCTTGCATAGTGAATAATGTTGCTTGGTTCCTAAAAGGGTTCTTACTTTTCCCCTGGACAGGGACACTGCCTCTTGTGTTAGCTTCCAGGGATCTTGACCGTATCATATCACCAATCTATGGGCTATATTTTACAACATATGTTATACAACGTTCACGGGTACATACATGACAGTATTAGCGGGGCTCTAGAATCTCAGATTAGGGGCTTTATTGTGCGATGATGGTCTAGGTCAAATACTCCAATATACACGCATTGTCTAGACTATTGCACCCATCTACTGTGGAGTAAACTCAGTTGTACTACAACTAAGATACAGTGGTTCAAACAGTGCAAATAGCATGACGTGGATAATAATTCCACAATGAGAGACTTTATGTTAATGTACCATGGTTGAGCAATATAAAAATAGTCAGATATTGTCGTTGGTCGGGTCTAGTTCGGAGGTTCCACTTCCATATTGTTCAATGATGATTAACTGTCGGCTTCATACCCGTGGACAATCCGATCCAATCTCTTGGTGTACTTTGCATTCTTTTGGCCTTCGTCTTTCATCATACTTATGAGATGGTGCTTTATGTTGTAAGTCTCTACCCGCATTTGTTACACAGTCCACAGTCATTGTACAACATAGTGGCAACTATTCTTTATATGTATCACAATTTTACCTCAACTCTATGACCACACTGAAGGATACAATGTATGTAGTATGTACACCAGATAAGGGACACTAGCCAGAGATCCACTGTGGCCAGTAACAATGGTGTCTAGCCCTATCAAATCATTATATTATTCTCTTGTTTGCAATACAGTACTTTACGATACACTCCATATGGTGGTAGAAGTTCAGGCAGTAACTATATCACATGAGCATAAAAGGATTACACCCACGAGCATGGCTGTTTAGTTATATGTACAATATATACTAACTGCTGGATCAAAAGCTGGAGTATCAGATAGGATCTTGATCTATATAATCCTCATTATCTAACAATAACAACAATGGGACTTAGTTGGATGGTTTGAGTCTCTTAGAGAACTCAATAGGCATTTATCTATGGGAAAATGCATGTTGCCACTTTCAATCGGGTTACCTGGGCTGTAAACACTAAGTCCTCATCCCTCTCATACTCAGCCAGTGATCATTGTCCGTCTCTTCATATCCTGCTTTAAAGTGGAGAAACAAGCACACTCCTGTACTCCATTTTGCTCCACATCTCAATGGATTGGAACTCTGTTCAAGATGACGTTATGCGTGTTGCTACGCATCTCCCTCCGGCTGGTTCGGACCTTCTATTGTCTACTCTCCGGGACCAGGGTATTGGTCCATCGGAGATCTTCCCCACGGTCAACAGCATGAATGGCTGACAGCATACAGTTTCTATTATTTCTTCATGTTTGCATATCGGGGGCTTTTGCCGGTCTTGTGTGCCCTGATGTTACATTCTTCGTTGATTCGTTTGGAGCTCTAACCCACCGCTTCTTATAAAGATGCACTCTCCCCCAAATCCGTGCTCTCTCAACTAAACCCACATCTACTACCACGACTCTACAGGTAGATATTATCAGATTGTTCAATTGTTCACGATCTTCAAAAGGGGCGTCGTGTCCATTCGCCCACTGATCAACCGATCCACATTCGCCGAACAGCAACAATGAGGAACTTGATTACCCTCGCTGCCTTTGCTGCCGGCTCCAACGCCCTCGTTGGCCGCACTGATAGCTGTTGTTTCAGCCTCACCTCCTCCGGCGGTGCCTCCGGTAAACTTGGCCAGCTTGGTGATGGCCAGAATCGCATTGGCGATGATAGTTTACAACCCGCGCAATACTGTATCGACTCTAACGGCGCAATCACCGATGGCAAGGGCCGTGGATGCATCCTCACCCGTAAGTAAACTAATCATTTCCCAATATACCAACCACGAAAGAATGTGTATCTGACTGTATGACAGCTCCCACCACTCAACTCCAGTGTGACGAGGGTGTGTCTGCTAGCCCTGGTTTCTCTATCAACTCCCAGGGTAAACTTGAGTATGACAACAGCCCTGACTTCGTTGCCTGTGCCACAGGCCAGAACGGGGGTCTGAATGTCTACACCAGCCCCAACAAGATGGACGTCACTGGCTGCGTGAACGTGCAGATAGCTGCTGACTCCTGCTCGGGAACTGGTGCCGGCCCTGGTGGTCCTGCTCCTGGTCCCGCTCCTGGTGCTGGTGCTGGAGGTGGTGCCCCTGGAGGTGGTGGTCCAGCTCCCGGTCCAGCTCCCAGTCCTGGCCCTGGTGCTGGTGCTGGAGGTGGTGGTCCTGGTCCCGCGCCTGGCCCCGCTCCTGCTCCCGGTCCTGGCCCTGGTGCTGGTACTGGAGGTGGTGCCCCTGGAGGTGGTGGTCCTGGTCCCGCGCCTGGCCCTGGAGGTGGTACCACTCACACTGCTACGACTACTATCACTGTCACTGACTGCAGCTGCCCTACCTCTGGTGCCCCTGGTGCCCCCGGGGCTCCTGGGGCTCCTGGGGCTCCCGGTGGCGGTCAGGCGTCGGTTCCTGGTCCTCAACCCTCCTCCCCTGGTGGAGGTGGCGGCGGTGGGCCACAGCCTTCCGCTCCCGGTGGAGGCGAAGGAGGTGGAGCACCGCAGCCTTCTGGTCCTGGTGGCAGTGCTAGGCCACAGCCTTCCGCTCCTGGTGGAGGTGGAGGTGGTGGAACACCGCAGCCTCCTGGCCCTGGCGTCGGCGGCGGCGGCGGCGGGGTTGGTGGTGGTGGAGCGCCGCAGCCCTCTCCTAGCATGCCTGCCCCATCCGGCGGTGCTGGTATCAAGCCTTCTGTTACACAACCTGCTCCCGGTGGCGGTGGCGGCAGTGGTACACAGCCTGGTATCTCTGCTAGTGTGCCTCCTTTCTCCAACGGCGGTCCTTCACACCCTGGTGGTTCTGCTAGCGTGCCAGCTCCCACTGGCGGTGGTACGCAGCCTAACGTCTCTGCTGGTGTACCTCATGTCACCGTCGGTGGTGGTACACGCCCTGGTGACTTTACTAGCGTGCCTGTCACTGGCAGCCCGCAACCCTCTGGATCTCCTTCCGTTCCCGTTACCACTGGCGGTGGCCCTCGTCTCACCGCATCTCCCACCGCATCTGTCCCTGCTACCTCTGCCTCTCCTACAGGCTCAGCCACTGGAACCTCCGGCGGTGCTTGTGCCACTACCCTCTCGGGCAGTGTCCAATCGGGTAACTACGAGATCCCGCACCTTATTGTTCCTGTCGACTCTTCCTCGCCCGACACCGCCGCAGGAAGTGGGCTTAACGGTACCGTGAGCTCGACCACCTCGACTGTGTTCAATTTCGACATCCCGAACTCCGACGCTGGCAAGACCTGCAGTCTCATCTTCCTCTTCCCCAAGCTTGAGGATCTCGAGACCTCGTCTTTCAGCTTCAGTGGTGATGGAAATATTAACTTCGCTCAACTCTCTGCCATCGCCGAGTCCACAACATCCTTCAGCAAGGTGCCCTCGGTGGCCCGGGACCTTGGCACCATCACCGTTTCCCCCGGCAACTCATACCTTGTCTCTACCTTCTCTTGCCCAGCTGGCCAGGCCGTTGCATATCAGATGAAGAACGCTGGCAGCACTGACTTCGATTTCTTCGAGGACTGGAACCCCTCTCCGTAAGTGTTTCTTTCAGTTGCCCTTTTGCCTGTATATCAGCTAACAGCAATTTCAGTCTCGGTTTGTTCATCACCACTTGCTAAGTGATGAACCTCTTGTGCAAATTGGCAGTTTGCGACTATGGACATGCATTTTTGATGCCTTGTAAACTTCCATTGACGTCTACGCGTCGATATGTATTTTCTTGATATTTTCCTTCCTATTTTCGGTTTCTTCTTTTTTTTGGTCCGGTGTCCATACGGAAGTAACCCTTCTCAAAAGCTGACTTGTCTATTTGGTGGATCAGAAAACATAGCCATATCTGGTTGATGTTTTTGTAATTGAGGCGCATGCATATAGCGTCAACGTTCCTTCAGCTTGTGTATTAGTATATGGAATCCACTCCTTGGTTTTTTTTCGCCTTTTAGTAGCATAGGCAAACAATATTCTGCTTTCTCCACCTATGTAGCAAAAAAAGTATTGTGAAGGTTTGAAAGAAGAGAAAAAAAGAAACTTCGATACCGGGAATCGAACCCGGGGCCGCGGAGGTCATATAATGAAAATCCGCTAGGTTAACCACTACCCCATATCGAACTTGGATGCAAAATCAAGCCGTTAAGTTTATTATGACCCTGGTACAACATATTGTGGTTCCTCTAGGGTTTACCCACTCCCAAGGCAGTGCCCACCTGCCCACCTGGGCAGGTGTAATGTCCCATGTCAAAAGTCTAGGCCCACGTGTCAGCTTCGCCCACTTAACAGCCAATCACATGAGAAGAAAACAAGGGGATGTGCCAAGGGCGATTAATGCCGATGCCAAGCAATGCCCTTTGTGACTAGGCTGTGACTAGGCAGATATGTTTATTTCCCCTTCTTAAGATATTCTGCTATTCTGACTTCCTGATCTTCCCCAATTGTCTCGTTTGTTTGTTTTTTAGGGGGAAGTCCTGAAGTCAACATGGAAATCCCCGCAAAACTCCCCTTCTCCAAGCGGCGGCTCCCACCTCGTGTTGTCATCTCGTGTGTCAAATTTCCCCAGGTCCCCACAAAGCCCTGAACTAACAATTCTTTAGCTACATCTTTGACTATGTGATCATTATGTACGAGCATCAACCTTGGAATCTCACTCTGTTTACGTTATACTGACTCCGGAAATAGTGCCTGTGCTATCGGCTTCTCGATTCTCAATAAGGTTGAGCCCTTCCACCAACACTTCTCCCTCACCAACATCTCCATCCAATATCCTTATGCCGTACACGAACGTATCCCGATGGCCTACGCCCTCTGTATCTCCGCTGCCTTCCCACTTGTTCTCATCATCCTTTACACCTTGTTCATCGATGGCTTGTTTTCACACCATAAGCCACAGGACGTAGCGTCGGGAAAGCGGAAACTGCGAGGTCCGCATCGCTGGAAGGACAGACTTTGGGAGCTTAATTGTGGTATTTTGGGTCTTTTACTGGCCCAGGGACTCGCTTTCTTCATCACACAGGCGCTGAAGACTGCATGTGGCAAGCCGAGACCCGATCTCATCGATCGTTGTCAACCACGTGCTGGTAGCAAGGACCTTTTCCCGGGATTATCCAACTCTACGATCTGTACAGGTGACCCTGCGTTGTTAACGGATGGATTTCGGTCATGGCCGTCCGGTATGCAATATGACCCGATACTGCTTGTTAGAGTCGCGAATGCTAACCTTGATTCATCTAGGCCACAGTAGTTGTGTGTATACCCCATCTGCGATTTATCGGGGTTTTTTCTATTACTAACACTGTCGAATAGCCTCCTTCGCTGGTCTTGTTTACACATCGCTTTGGTTAGGCGGAAAGCTGCACATTATGGACAATCGCGGTGAGGCCTGGAAGGCCCTTCTTGTCACGGTTCCTCTCCTAGCAGCAAGTCTCGTGGCCGTATCGCGTATCATGGATGCGCGCCACCACCCCTTCGACGTGATCACGGGGTCGATGCTTGGAGTTGTCTGCGGCTTTGTCGCATATCGCCAGTATTTCCCGCCGCTCAGCGAACCCTGGCGCAAGGGCCGTGCCTACCCAATCCGAACCTGGGGGTCGGATCCTGCAGGGCCCGATACCGTCCGATTTGTCGGTTCGAAACACGATAGCTCGGTTGCTCTCCGCAACACTGAAGACGAGCGCATGGACCCAGATATCCCCAGCTCGGAACATGCCAGACCCGACGCCTCTACCTATCTTCAGCCCTCCAACCCATATGCATCCAATATGTACAGTCGCCGCCCACACGACCATGATCCCGATGGTGCTTGGTCGTCGAGTGAGGATGACGTTACCAACGGGTATGAGATGCGACAGCAGCATCATGGTGCCGGTCACCATGCACCTCAATATGATCCTAGTAATGCATATGTGTCCCAGACACAGCCGCTGACGGCTAATGTGGGAATTCATGTTTCCGAGCCGATGGCGGGTCCGGGGCGTCCGTTGACGGACATGCCCAGCCGGGCCACGTGAAAGTATATGATGGGGTTATTGATGATTTGCACAGTCTAGTTCAGAGTGGTAATTACCTTGGTTATCTGTTTATGATTTGATTCAGCCATAGGTTATTGCGATGGCTGGTGATCCAACTCTGTACTAGTATGATTATGAGCATATTGGCGTTGAAAACAAAAGATTCTTTGTTGCCATCGAGACCAAGCATAGATTTAATAAGAGTTCTATATCTCTTACAACAGAAATAGTGATCTATACAAATTACTACAAATACAATTAAGTCAAGTCCTGTACTCGGTAGAGTCTCCACTTAAATGTGGTTGGCTTGACAACGTATCTATATTCTCATACCCTAAGGTCCCTAACCTACCATCCCGAGGGATACGGGGTAATCAAATGCAAGACATTAATTAAAAAGGGACGGCTCATGCAAGTACCTAGACTAATCAATATATGCAAAGTGTCGAGACCAGCATTGAGGGACTCGGGTTACCCCAGCCACCGACATCGTACATTGTGAGTCGCCCAGCCTCCTCGGCCTAAGATGACGCTGAATATCTTTTTTTAATTCCCCCTCTTATTTCTATCTTTTTCCTATTTTTTTTTTACTTTCCCTTCTGTATCCCTCTGCATCTTCACCTCGTGCATACTGCACTGTAATCGCAACTGCCTGTGCTTTTTCTTTTTTTTTTTTTTGGCGAGCTCGTGTAGCCCCCACGATCTTGTCACTGTACCTCGAACATACCAAACACATCGGGACAGTTGCACATTCCAAAGATCTGAAGCCCAGTCTATCTTTTAACCGCCGAGATGATTGGCAGCGTCTTCTTCATATTCAACCGCCTGGTTGAGATCGTCTTCCTGATCCCAATCATTGGCATGCTGGTATGTCCCTCCATCAACCAGTCCGATCAGCAATACCCCTCCAAGTTTCCCGCTAACAATGTCTCCGAACCTAGGCCTACTTCGTCAACGGCTACCTAAAAGCAAATGAGCTGACCCCACCATATATCTTGGTCCTCTTCATCGTCAGCGTAATCGCCATCTTCTGGGCCCTTGACACTCTAATCCGCTTCTCAACAACAAAGCGATCAGCAATCTTTGTCGCATTCGTGGACCTACTCTTCTTCGGTGCCTTTGTCGCATCCGTCTACCAGCTCCGCTTCATCGCAAACGCAGACTGTGCCAGCTGGAATGGCGGCTCCGTCTGGATCTCGCTAGGTCCATTCGGATCTTATGGCCAGCGCACAGATAACCCCCTAGCGCTGAACGTCAACAAGACTTGCGCTATGCTGAAGGCTTCCTTCGCGATCGGTATCATGGAGACAGTATTCTTCTTCTGGACTGCGCTGCTTGCGCTGTTCCTGCACCACTCGCACAACCCGACTGTTGTTAAGGAGACAACGACTGTTCGGAGACGTAGTCATTCCAGTCGTCGTGGTCATGGCTCTGGATCGCACTCACGTCATCGCAGCTCTAGTCGCAGACCTGCGCCTTACGTCGTTTGATTTTGTTTTATATGATTTGCTTTTCTTTTTCTTTTACGCGAGGTGCTTCTCATGATTGAATGAAGATCATATGCCTTAATGAGATACGGATTGGGATATTTCCTTGGATGATTTGATACCAGAACAACTGCGCAATCGCAGCGATAGGTACCATATTCAGATTTTCGTTATATGTGCTGGAAAAATGGACATTTCGGACGTTTGAGATTACGGTCTCCATGTCTTTTCATACTATTGTTTAGTTTTGTTTGCAATGCCAGCTCCATTATGATCAACACATGATATTCGGCTTATATTTCTGCAGAGATGGCCAGATTGCCCACTGTGTCATCTAGTCTCTCAATATCCATTGAAGCTGGCGCGCCAGTTTTATCTATGAAGAACCAGTAGGCCTAGGTAATGCTTCCTGGACAGAAAGGGACCTCGGGAGTCAAACATGCATGTTGAATAATACCCCTAATGTCAAGGTGCGTTTGGATTTAGCTCCTCTATGGTTAGACGCAATATGAAATACGAGGGGCCAAGATCCTATTATGACAAAGATCTACTCGGCCTTTCGTATTTCGTCCCGCGCCCCGTCTCTATAAATACTGCATCCAGCATTGGCTTGCGCACTTGTTGTCTAATCTTTTCTAATAAACCTACACTTTAATCATGATGTCTACCCAACACTGGATAGGGGGTTTTCGACCGGTTGCTCTCATAATTGCATTGATTGTTCTGGCGTTCAATATCCTGCCTGTACAGGCGACTATTCCTACTTCTCAGCGCTTTGATCTATCAAAGCCTTCCTACGACCTCTTCCGCAGCAAGCCCCTACATGATAAGACTGTACAGCAAGGCTTCGCATTTGACAATACCAATCGCCGACTTTTTGTCGCCCAGCGACGTGATGGTTCCTCCGAGACTTCGGGCGACCTATGCATTACCCAACTTGATTTCGACGGCAACTACGTGGGATACATGTATTTAACCAGTTTCGGTCACGGCGTCTCCTTTGGCGTTCAAGCAGTCGGCTCATCATCCTACCTATGGACGGAAGTGGAGGCCAGTTCTAATGGATATGGCAAGAAACTTGCTCGGTTCAAGTTTGTTAGCGGGACTACACTCTCGTCCACCTCGTCATCACTTGAGAAATTCGTCCCTATCACGGGTGCTACAGAGCATACGTGTTCCATTGATCCCGTGAGCAACCGTCTCATTGTCCGCCACAACCTCAGTGACGGTAAACATATTGCCGTGTTCAACTTGGATGAAGCAGCGGATGGGGATTTCTCCAGCCCTCTCGCAAATTTCAAGCATCCGTCGTTAGACACGGCATCGGCTACATTCCAAGGGTATGCAGCGTATGGCCAGTATATCTATCTCTTGTACGGAAACTCGTATGATGTCACCGGTGGTAAGGTCAATTCAGACGTGACCGCTGTCAACATGAATACTGGATCTGTCGTCCAGGGTCCTCTCATTACAAAAGCGGGATCAACACTATCATTCCGTGAGCCTGAAGGATTGGCTATTTATAAGACTGCAGCCGGGGAAGTTCGTCTTTTCCTAGGATTTGCGTCGGGTGACGGTGGTGATCGGCGATCGAATTTATTCTACAAGAATGCTTTGGTTTAGTCTATATTAAGTAGGGGGCAACTTATTTAAAAAAGAAAGATTCGCGGTCAATCTAACCTACCTATGCACCTCAAACTAAGCATGTAAAATAATCTGATCACAGCCCCGGCGAAAGTAAGCTGAGAGTTGTCATATATCCTCCAGATCAAACCGCATGTACAGCTTGTGAACGTCAGCATCAACATGGAAAGTAATGATTCTCGCAATTTTCTTTCTCTCTTGACCCCACGCACACAGAATGAACGCTGCAACGACTTTACCTATTCCAATCCCCAGCAGAGCACTGAATTCAGACGAGGAAGGCTCCCAGATCTGATGTGTGCTGGAGGGATAACAAAGTCCTTCGCGCAATTTGTACACCTTTTTGATACAGGATAGGGTGTTTGTTTCGTTGAAATTGGGCACAAATACATTCCTCAGGCTGTCCAAAGGGAAGTCCAATTTGTAGGCTGCCTTGGTGAACTCGGAGATGTATGGATCATCACTCCTCTTGGATCTAAAGATATCGTCAATAAAAATCACACCTGGTCCAGTAATAAAGTATTATCAATATAATATCTTCACAGTATATACCTAGCAACGCTACTATCTCAATAGGCCTTATTTAAATAGTGGTATAAGTATATACTTCAATAATATAGTTAGACTCAAATACGTAAAATTAAGTAATGTTATGTATTATATACCGATTGCGGGAGCTGAGCTGACTGGTGGAGATAAGATAAGATGATGTCACGTGATTTATGGGATCCCACGGGTCAGCTCAGCTCGGGTCGGATAAACTGCGTCCTGCGTCGGTGGGATGGATATTTTTGCCCAAGGCACCAATATCATCAAGACTCGCTCTCTCTTTTTTCTCTTATTCGTTCTTTCTCTCCCTTGGTGAGTGCACTAGCCTTTTTAGGTGATCATGTAGATGGTGGTCCCTAGAAACATTGAGAATCTATGTATTAGAGCATCACACAAATAAAGATTGCTATACAGACCAATTATAACTCGGAATTGGGCCGAGGTGGGGTTGTCATACTAGTGTACTTCCGTTAAATTGGATTTGCAGGCTTCGATATTTCCATACGAGTGACTCAACCGCACCGCACACAGGAATTTCCAAAGAAAACAGCATTGAAAGCAAAGATCAACATGACCACGGAGGAAGAATTTGTAACTGTGAAGGCATCCTTGCCCACAGTCCCACTTCCCGCAAATAGCCAGCGGCCAGCAGTAACAACGGACCGCTTACTTCTCCGCGCGCCCCAATCAACCGACTTGGAAGCGTTACACGTCCTACGCACACAAGAAGAAGTCATGAAATGGACTAAGGCTGGGTGCATCGACGAAAATATTGAGATGACCAAATCCAAACTGGATGCTTTTCTACCACCAAATGATCTTATCACGGCCAACTATGTCATCTGCCTGAAAGAAACAGGCGAACTTATCGGTATTGGCGGGTGCCATCTCTACCCGGGAAGACATGGATGGCCTGAAATTGGATACATGCTTCGGGCGGACGCTTGGGGGAAAGGCTTTGCGACGGAGTTCTTGAGCGCCTGGCTACGGATTTGGTCAGAATTACCTCGGACAGAGCGAGAGGTCAGAGTTGTGAAAGAAATGGTTATCGGAGAAGGTGTAGTGGATGAACACCTTATTGCTCTCACGGAGGCAAACAATAGTGGAAGTCAGATGGTGTTGTTGAAATGCGGATTTGAGCGATTCCGCGAGTTTGTCGAAGTGGATGGTACCAAGATCGTGAATCTTGTTGCTTTCCGTTTCGTTCCAAAGAAATAGATATTGTTATGCCTTCTCTGTACATAAAATATAAGAAAGCGTTGATATCACAATACAGAGGTCGAAACTTGATCACATCACCGCTAGTGTTACGTGCAAATGAACAGAAGACGGAGAAAATGCCGACTCGATCCGCCTACATCAATATACAATCCATCAATCCCGAGGTCTCATTTCAAGCTTCCCCGGGCTCCCTGAGTTTATACATCTTTCATTATGAGAGGGACCAACACGTGAGCGGGTCGTCCACTGAGAGTATAAATACAGACCATCCTATCAGTCGATTAATCCAGTAGGAACAGTACTCTGAATACCCAAAAAGATATTCAGGAATAATGGAACATTTTGACGTTGCAGTTGTTGGACTTGGAGTGCTTGAAAGCGCGGCTGCATACCAGACCGCTCTAGGAGGCAAGAAAGTAGTTGCGTTGCGTTCGAGCAGTTTGAGCTGGGCCATATGCGCGGAGCCTCCTATGATACATTATGAATCGTCAGAACAGCAAACGCATCGCCGCAATACGTCTCTCTGGCAAAGTCCGCCTACAGGGACTGGGCTGACCTGGAAAAGGCTACGGATCAAAGGTTGTTAACGATGACCGAAGCATTGGTCCCAGTTCAACATCCCGCACACAGTCGAGACGGTATATACGGCCGACACCAGCATTGCTCATGCGACCAAGACTATGGGTTCCCATCTATTGGGAGCCGACTATCAAAGTAGCCCGCGATACTTCAAACAATTCAATGACACCTGAGAAATGTACCTATGTGCACTAGTCACAGTTGTTAGAGCAGCTTTGTTTGTTTATGGGCAAATTTCATGCCCGACAAGGGTCTTCAACCGCTTCGTACTATCACATGTCAATACTCTATCACTCCGGATCGACAATTCATTATTAGTCCGTTGGAAAAGCACCAGGACATTATTGTTGGTCTCGGGGCTGCCCATGCATTCAAATTTGCGCCGGCCTTTGGTCATGCTCTTGCGGAATTGGCAATTGATGGGAAGAGTACGGAAGATCTTTCGAAGTTTAGGATTCTGAGTAATCCTACTTCTGCTAGCAGACTTTAACATATTTATGATTTATGATGATTCGAATTCAAGCCTGGGGCAGTGCTTTCATCAAAAATGGCCCATAATGTAAGGAGATTTCTTATTTAACGGCTACTATAACATAATCCCCTTTAATGAGGGATCTGGCTAATGGTGGCAACGTATATCAAGCGCATCTATAGAGTTGGACAAGTAAAACAGGGCCAATATCTAAACAATTGGCACAGTTTTTATATCTAAAGCACGCTCAGTCTGCAAAAAGACATGTACGCATGTCCCACATATTCAACAACTCCAAAGACCCTATTAATTGTGTCTTCCACCCCTAGTCCTGCGGGATTGCCCGAACATCTCTTTGTTCCAGCGAATATATAAAACCGGCCCTGCTCCTCCCCTTCTCCTCCTCTCTCCCTCTAACCCAGGGGTCTATACCATACTCATATCATAACATCCAAATCCCTGTTCCAGTCTCTCTAGCGCGTTCAATCGAACCTTAAAAGTCCCAGCACTGATACAACCTAGAGGCGTCGTTCATCAAAATTTCAAAAACCCTACGTGCAAAGGAGCAGGTTGTTCGATAATTCTGCGACTAGCTCACTAATTATGCACGCCGTCCTCGTTATCGAGTAAGAAGCGAGACAAGGTCTATATAAAGTTGAGATTCGCGTACACGCCTGCTATGTCCGAGTAAGGTTCAATTATTTTCCCTCGCCCCAAACCACAACCAAGACAGAGCATCTGACCAGTTCTAGCGCTTTCACAGCCAGAACAGATATATGGAAATCCTCCAAGCATGTGAGCAACTCATAGGTACCTTCACAAGCCTTACCATTTCCTGCTACGCAGAACCCGAAAATACCTACCTCAAGCTAAAAGAAGTACGACAGGTAGCCGGCCTCGCTTATTGCCTTACTCACTCACCACCTTACTGATATAATGACTCCTCGGTCCAGTCGATCCCGCCGGTGGGCCAGCGAATCATTTGGGTCCCCCTCCCCTGCACATTCACCGTTTCCACTGCGCCATGTGCAGTTCACAGCTACCACTACACCAGTAACGTGGTTTTGATTGTGACAATCATATCTGGCTCAGAAGTTGAAGAAAATTTCCCAAACCCAGCCGGGCAAGACCTAACAACCGACCTACTACAACGATCCCCAAGAAGCTTAGCCTGAAGACAAAGTCTCAAAGGGTCGTCAGCAGCTTCGACGTGCATCCTGCCTAGGGACTTATATATGTCTATATATGTAGCATTTTCTCTCCTGTTCGTCGTCTATATGGATCCATCTACACAGAAATGAGTGGACTCAACCCATCATTATTCCATCATTTATCATATTTCCGCGGTTGCGAACGTTTTATACCCATTGATACTATATGAAAGTTCAACAAGGACGCACAATGGGTCCTCAAGCAGAAAGTCAGGCACTCAAAGTTGCTATATTATGACAAGATCAGATACGACGCCGGCAGCAGGGTTGTGCCTCTCCGCCAGAATATCGCCTATCTGATGCACATGTCTTCCTCATCGTTGGTTACAGTACGATCACCTATCACTGCCACGTGAAGTTGCTGTGCTATAGACACTGACGACTGACGGCGACACCTACCCTGATAGACTCCCAATTGGTAAGCCCGTTGATAGTTTGCTAAGAGTACAATTTGACTTAGTTGTGGTTATCTCTTTGGGCCAACTACATACCAAAGACCTCATCATCTAAGGCTTACGCCTTGGAAAAGCTATTACTAATGCGTCGTCCCTCATTGCAATGAAATCAAGTAAAAAAAGAACCAAAATTGACTCAAAGTTGTTAATACATATCTCAACACCAAGACCTGGAATCATCTATACAGTACAGAGTCCCGTCGTTTTAATGCAATCGACCGGATACTAAAAAGGCAAAATGCAATCAGAAGACAGAAGACACAAGACGCATCCCCTACTTCTTCACCCCCTCGCCACCAGGAGCCAGGCCCGTAAACGGATCAAGACGCAGCTCCTGAGCTGTGATAGGGGTGTAAGAAGTGCGACCCTCCTGTGCCATCTTCAAGCGACGCATCTGACCCGCCTCACCAGCGCGACCAAGAATTCCCGCAATAAGACAGGTAGCCCGCAGACTGTCATCGTTCGAGGGAATCGGGTAGGTAACACGCGTAGGATCCGCATCTGTATCAATAACACCGATAGTAGGAACATTGTTAAGTCCACACTCATGCAGCAAGACAACATTCTCAAGCGGGTTAAGACAAACGACCAAATCGGGCTTAAGTGCCGGGCGATCGGCAAGATCAGACTTGAAGTTGGGCAATTCCTCGTCCAGCGCGTTGACAACCTTCGTCTCGCAGTGGCCGAGAATCTGCTCGCCGTTCGTCAGAGAGCCCGGAATCCACCGCTCGAAAATGTGGTATCCCTTTGCCAGCGACGCCGCCTTGACAACAGCCCGCTTCTGACCCTTCCGTGTACCGGCGAAGAGGATTAGTCCGCCACGTGCGGCGACTTCCTCAACTACTTTTGCGGCGCGGCGGAGGTGGGCGGCTGTTACGTCCAACGAGATGATATGCACCCCCTCGCGGATACCGAAAATGTATCGCGAGTTCTGGGGGTTCCAGCGTGAAGTCGAGTGGCCCAGGTGGGTTCCTGCTGCGAGCAGCATTTCCAGGGAGATCTGGGATGGCTTGGGAGGGTTGCGGATGACATTTTCGGGGTCGTAGGAGGATTTCACGGTTGTGCCGAGTTTTTTGAAGTTGCTTCCTGGAAGAGGAAAAGAAAGATAGGGTTAGTTGATGTGTTGAGGGACTCTCCGAGGAAGAATTCGCGGCTCACTTTGCGGCTCGTCTGATGTGAATTCTTGGTGTGCGGGTGTGGTGGCCTCGGATTGCGCCTGCACCATCTCAAATAGGGGGTTATCTATCCGAGGGATCTCATCTCTGATAGATGTCTGCACTGTCTCGACTGGAGTTTCGGGCAATGTCGATTGGAAGCGACTCGAAACCGGGGCTCGTCGGCTCAGAGCAAGGAGCTGGCGGCCTTTGGGATGTTGTTAACAGGGGCATTGAATGTCATGGCAGCAATTGAACCACACTCACTCTGGCGCATACAAAGCTTCCGTATAATCATTTTGGGAATGCTAAATTGCAGATGTGTCTGACAAGGAGGTTACTGGGGACTTGTCCGCTCGAACTTTTGTCGGGCTTGGCAGTTGGTGCCTGAGGCCTTACGCTATTCCACTTGGGGTTGTGTTTTGGCCTCTCCGCCTACTACACTTCTTCTCATGGACAGCACTGTCTATGATCATTTATGACCTACGGTTTACGGTTTGGTTTACTGTTATCTACAAGAAACGGTTCAGCAAAGTAATCACGTTGCAATTCTGAAAATTATGGTCAGATCACACAAAGGTGAATTCCGATATCAACGCAGTTCTGTCATGGTACAAGCCTCTTGAGGGCGAAGAAAAAGCCATGAAAAATGAAAACGATCTGGCGGAAAGGGTAAAAAAATGCATGCCGACCCATTGTGATGATAATAAGAGCAAAGAAAGAAATTCATGAAAACCGTGTCATCAGGCAGAAAACGCAAGAGGAAAGTTCATCGGAAACCTTCTACTTCTTGAAGAAGCCACCGAGCTGATCCATCATGGAGCCGCCGCTGCCACTGTTGGAAGGGGGGCCGCCATATTGACCGCCGGGAGGGGGAGCACCGTACTGGGGGGGAGACTGGCTGTCCTTGTTGCGGTGCTTCTTGACGGCGTCTTCAGCGATGCTACCAATGATGGCTCCACCGATTGTTCCGAGGAAACCGTGATTGACCTTGTGGCCGGCAAAACCACCGGCGGCACCACCGGCGAGGGCACCGGCAAGACCACGCTCGCCATCCTGGGCATCACCGGGGGCACCCTGCTGCTGCTCGTAGCCACTGTGATATGTCAGTACATGGTGAATGAAGTGAAAGGTGGGATAAACACATACCCCTGTCGGTTCTGGTCGTGTTGGCCGTAGCCTTGCTGCTGGCCGCCGTAGTAATCGGAAGAACCACCCTGCTGCTGGCCGTAGCCCTGCTGCTGGTGTTGCTGGCCACCATAGTAGTCAGAGGAACCACCCTGCTGGCCATAGCCTTGCTGGCCGTAGCCCTGCTGAGGCTGACCGTACTGTTGTTGTTGGTCGTAACCCTGCTGACCACCGTAACCTTGTTGGCCACCGTAGCCTTGCTGCTGGCCGTAGCCTTGCTGGCCGTAACCTTGCTGGCCATAACCTTGCTGGCCGTGGCCCTGGTTGTACTGATCGTAGCCGGACATGATGTAATTTGATAAAAGATTGAAGATGGAAGGTAGAGAGTAATGTAAAGGTGGGGAGTGGTAAGTGATGAAGAGAAGTAAAGTGAGGGGGCAACCTTTTATAAGAGGTGACTCCAAGTAACCACAGGGCTGACGGTAAGAACCCCACATGGCAAGCGAAAACTTACGAAACGAGGGGCGCAGCGTTTGGTAAGCGTCAGCCATTTCAGCCCTGTGCATCTTGCATATCTTGCATATCTTACATCTTCGTGTTTTTTTACCGTCATCTTACTAGTTTAAACTTGACATCGAACCCCCCAGAACGTCAAATGGATGCACTCAGCCTGATTAAGTTAATTACACCGCCACAATCCGCGCAACATAATACTGTATTTAATTGTGGCTATGTCAGGCTGAGCCTCGGTTTATACATTACCCTCCCCAAAAATAGATTACAGCATACGCGGATCTCTCGGCTTCCACGGATCTTCCAGAATATTTATCTCCGCTACTGCACACTGGCTCTCGGCATTCTGTATTGGGACATTTTTTATGTGGCTGCCTACGCTAAGCCCCTTATTCCATCTGTGTCCGACCCCACCATACCCGAACAGACGCCCGAATGTTGGAGAATCGTCACTCCTCCGAACTGTTGAGGGTGGCGTCATCCCGATATTCTCCAGACCTTTGTTGTATACTCCGTAGGTATTGACATCACGAGGCCGAACTTTGTGACTCGAAGAAGAATAAATAGTGCCTAAAGCCAAAATTATATAGCTGTAGTATCACCTATAATAATTATCGGTGCCCCATCAACATTAGCAAGCCACCACCATTCGATGTGTCAACACATCTCCCCAAAACAAGTCAAATTGCATTGAAATCATAATGATAACATGTTCAAGTGACCTTCACCTGGTAGGAATCGGGGGGCGGGGGATGATGTGCAACGTAGATCACTTATATAGAATTTGACTTCGGGGATGTCAACAATATATATATCTTGAACAGCATACGACAATATGCGACAGCAAGCGATCAAAAATTGTAGAATTTGTACAATATAATAGATACAACTTGCCTGCAATGATTACTGACAAAGGAGATCATCAGATCACCTGTTGTCTTGAAGGACAGCCCCATCACAGCCCATCTCTTGACCCCGTGGACCACTCAGGTGCTCTCATTTCTATGTTGGTGTGCATTGGATGATCGATTATGATCGACGCATGACTGATTTAAACATTCGACTACCAACACGGGACTTGATCGGACGACAGTAGCTTAATCCATCCCGCAAGGTCCTCATGTATATCCTACGTTGTACAACGTACGCGCTGACCACTGCCGAGTGCGAGAGTCCAAACCACATCTGAGATATACATACTCTCAACACACGGCCTTGATTGTCATTAGATCTGATATGTTATCTGCACATACGCCCTAAACTTAAACCAGAGAACACTTTCATCTCTGCGAACACTACATACAGATTTCCGAGATCAGTTTCAACCCCGAGCCGATCAACAGAGTGCAGTGGACATGCAGAACACGCTAGACCAATCAAACCGCCGAGTTGTAGCACTTCAACCGAGCGTCCGCCTGTAGTTTGTCAAGTGCTCACCCGTGCTCCATAACTTTATGCCCCTTTTCGAACTGGCGCCCTTGCTGCTGGATGATCATTGGGACGCGGTCTTGTGATCCACTCTTTGCTTTTTTTTTTGTGTCAGCCCTACTCCGTATTTTTCCCCCTTCGGTGTGATTTTCCATATTAGGATATGGATTATGGTTGTTCTGCACTTATAACTAGAGCTAAGGATACCAGATCGGCATAGGAAAGTTTCAATGGAGGGGTTTGCTTTTTCCGCACTTTTATAATTGCTACTAGCTACTAGGGTTCATTCTTCTTGGTTATTCACTGCTCCGCTGTCCAGACGAGCTATTACGCGCTTGTTTTGTATATGAATGGGCTATAGTTAGCCTGTGTGCCAAAATGATACTGCAATCGGTCCTCTCAGCTCTGTGCTTTTGTCTCGGCATAGCATCCGCCAAATCACACCCAACGGTCTATATGATTCGACACGGCGAGAAACCTCAGAACCCAAACGATCATGGTTTAACCCCAGATGGGATCAAGCGGGCACAGTGTCTGAGACGTGTTTTCGGTCAAGGATCAGAGTATGGCATAGGGCATATTATGGCACCTCGTGTGGAATGGGGTAGGTTTACAACATGTCCCGAGAGCAAACATATCACAGTGCCGAAACGAGACGCGCGGGGGATTGAGCGTCATAGAAATGGCTGACAATATGCTTTCTGTTTGTAGATGGCGCGCATGGCCGTTCGTTTGAAACCGTTCTACCTCTTGCCAACGACCTCGGTCTCACAGTTGACACACACTGCAAGCGGAATAAAGTGAAATGCGTGGCCAAGGCGATCAGGTCGTATGATGGACCAGGCAACATTTTGATTTCATGGCGGCACTCGAAGATGGGTGGGATCGAGGAGGCGCTTGGTGCTTTAGAGCCTATTGAATATCCGGATGAGCGGTAGGTGATTATGTTTTCGTGTCTCTATGGCTTGTTCGTATGGGTTTCGCATTGGAAGAGATATGCCTGGGAGACGGCTGTCCCATGGAATATTCGACTCGCGATTCTCTTCAGCAGAAGCCCGTTTGTTTGATTTGTGTTGTGTCCTAGCGCTGACTGCTTCAGATTCGACCTGATTTGGACAGATCCTTGGCCGTATGGAAATATAACGAGTATCAAAAGCGAGGAATGCCCTGGACTAGATGCCAGGACTGGCCTCGTGGATCAGTCGTGATATAGAGAGGGAAAGCATGTCCATTTTGTTTGTTATTGAGCGTATATCCATGGATTGAATAAGAGAAAGCATAATAAACAGAGAGTCAATGGAAGAGAAATATAGAAAACAAAAACACAATCAAAAGGGGTGAATAGAAACAATAAAGTAGAGGAAACAATCAACCAACTTCCAGGAACCTCTCGATCAATGCACAGACCAACTTAGCAAAATTGTTGCGGGAAGGCGGTGAACCAGCCGAAGCGGAGACAATTGTAGCGCCAAGATTTCATCCCCCCAAATTTTTCGTTGCGCTTGACTGTCGAGCTTTCCCTTCCAGATTACAATTTTTGTCTACGGGAAAGGATTATGGATGATATCGAGGTTTGTGCACTCGGAGAATGCCCCGCAAGGATTGCGAGCTGACTGCCCTCAAGGAACGGCTGCGCAGCCATGCGCAGGCATTTGACGGTCTGCTGTCTTTGATCCCCGCCAAATACTATTATGGTGAAGAAGATACAAGTGTATGTAGCCCTTGTTGCATTTCATAAGTTGCTGGCCTTGGGATTGGAGTCAGCTTGTGTTCTTGCCTCTATCGTTCATTCCGAAGATCTCTGTCTGACCATCATCCTCATATTTAGGATCAATGGCAACGCAAAAAGCAAACCAAAGAACAAGCACGTGAGGCGAAGCGGGCAAAGTTGAACCCCGAAGCCGCTAAGACCGCCAAAGACGTGATGGATGAAAACGCACGCAAGCGAAAGCGGGAGGACGGCACCCTCGAGTCCGACTCGTCTGACGGAGAGATGGGCACGGAGACCCCCAAGGAAGGACTGAACCGTGGAACCGCCAACATGAAGAAGCAAAAGCAGGTTGAAAAGACTGATAAGCCAGACGCCGAAAAGGCAGCAGAGGCTGAGGCACGGAAAAAGCAAAAGGAAGAGAAGAAGGCCCAGAAGAAGGCCGCCCAAATGGAGAAAAAGAAGGCTAAGGATGCTGCCCGGAAGGAGAAATCACAGCAGAGCAAGAAGCCGTCGACTACCCCAACCGAGGGTTCGGAAAAATCTGCAACCAAGCCTAACAGCAATGCAGCCAAGGACACTGAAGCATCCGAGGATGAAGAGGATGACGACCAAGAAGATGACGGTGTTGTCGAGGAAGGGTTCTCCATTGAGTTCAACGTTGAACAGGAAAACCCTTCTTCTGCTCCTTCTACCACCGACTCTCCTGATGCCTCAAATCCCCAATCTGGCACCTCCTCCATTTCCTCTATCATCCCTCCCTCCACCTCCACCGAAGCCAAATCCTCAGAGCCCAAACCTCTCAAGCACACACCCGAAGAGCTGAAGCAGCGTCTACAGAAGCGTCTGGATGAGCTCCGGGCTAAGCGCCACGCAGATGGGCTCAACGGCAAGCCTGCACGCAACCGCCAAGAGCTGATCGAAGCCCGCCGACAAAAGGCTGAGCAAAGAAAGGCACACAAGAAGGAATTGCGTGAAAAGGCCAAGGTTGAGGAAGAGAAGAAGAATGACGAGGCCATGGCCCGCCGCTTCTCGCCTGGTGGCTCTGGATCCCTCCTGGCATCCCCCCGCTCCCCTGCCGAGTCTGTCGGCTCCACCAGCAACAACTTCTCCTTCGGCCGTGTGATGTTCACAGATGGCCAGCAGACAGATCTCACCGGAACCAACGTGCGCGAAAAGCCGAAGACCCATGGCGCCCGTGACCCAGCTTCCCAGCTCAAGGCCGTCGAGGCTAAGAAAGCCCGCCTCGAAGCGATGGACCCTGCTAAGCGTGCCGATGTGGAGGACAAAGACCTCTGGTTGAACGCCAAGAAGCGTGCTCACGGTGAGCGTGTCCGCGACGATACCTCCCTGCTGAAGAAGGCCCTCAAGCGCAAGGAGACGGCGAAGAAGAAGTCCGCGCGTGAGTGGAGGGACCGCATCGACACCGTCGCCAGCTCCAAGGAACAGCGCCAGAACAAGCGCGATGAGAACCTTCGCAAGCGCCGGGACGAGAAGGGCACCAAGGGTGGCAAGAAGAAGTCCAGCAGTGGAAAGAAGAAGGCTGCTCGTCCTGGATTCGAGGGCAGCTTCAAGGGTGGTGGCAAGAAGAAATAAACAAGCTTCTATCTGGTGGCTTAATTTTATTTCGTTCCTCACTTGCTTTTACATCAACCCGCCTTCTTTTATATTCTTCTTTTTCTTTTCTCTGCATACCCTTCAAACCGGTCTTTGTCTCTTGGATGTAAAGATCCTTGAACTAAGGTCGCAAACAGAAGCCCCCGAACCGACAAAAAAAAAGTGTTTTGAGACTTTGAACTGGGAAATATCCGTCCGGAGATCAAGGTGCCTGGTGTTTGCGTTTGTGTCTTTGGCGGCTTGGTCTGTCAATTTATGTCTATGCATGACAGCATCGGTAGCGATTTGATTTATCTGTGAATACAATATCATTTTCTTATCGGGCTGTATATGTGTTCCTTGTGTCTTTATCCCTATGTAAACCTCTAGATATCAAGATGTACTATATGTATGCGGTTAGCGGAAAAATGTACCGCACAGCCATAAGGGGATTCAATCGATTGAATTTATATATTTGAATCTCAACTGGAAGAAAAGAGCTGCTAGATTCCACAACATAGGAAATAAAAAGAGACAAGGGAGCCAATTTTCCAGGGAAAGACATTCCCCTTTAGGAATTGACTAGTACAAGATGATAACACAGTCGAGGGCAAGTTATGTACAGTGATGTGATGGGGCTTAAAATCTTTCTTGTTTTTCAAGGCACTAGTAGTGCCTCTTGAATGGATGGGTATTGCGATCAGCATCTTCATGTCCACACATCTAACATCTGGAATATATGTGGATTTGCCTTGAAGATGCCAATCGGATTGGAGGGAAATAGATTATCGGTAGGGAGCATCTGCACGAGCAGCAGCCGCAATCTCAGGCTCCCACTTGTCACCGTTGGAGAGGAGCTTCTCCTTGTTGTACAGAAGCTCCTCACGGGTCTCAGTGGCATACTCGGCGTTGGAAGCTGAAAGACAAAATGTTAGTAATCCAGTCTGAGTGTCAATTGAGATATAACCGGAGGATGTTGGACTTACTCTCAACAATAGCATCCACAGGGCAGCTCTCCTGGCAGTAGCCACAGTAGATGCACTTGGTCATATCAATATCGTAACGGGTCGTCCGGCGGCTTCCGTCTTCACGCTCTTCAGCCTCAATGGTAATAGCCTGGGCCGGGCAGATGGCCTCACAGAGCTTGCAAGCAATGCAGCGCTCTTCACCAGTGGGATAACGACGGAGGGCGTGTTCACCACGGAAACGGGGGAGATAGGACCCTTCTCGAAGGGGTAGAAAATGGTGTAACTGGAGCATCGGAACGTAATTAGTTGATATATTTCGATGCCATTGATTCTGGATTGCAATCCGTATCGCCGGCAAGGTTGAGGTGGGACAAGGACTTACGGTGGTCTGAAAAACTGCTCGAGCACCACGTACATGCCGCGGAAGATCTCTGCCATGAGGAAGTATTTGCTGGCCTTGTCCAAGGCGGACTCGGAGTCCTGATCCCAGCGCTTGGGCGGGGGCAGGCGGAACCCGGCCTGAGGGGGTCCCGCTGGGGTTGCTGCGCGGTACGTCGAGGAAGAGAAGTTTGCGGTTGAGCCCAGCAATCCGAAGGGGGTCGGCCGACGGTAGGCGACTAGCCTCGCGACCGAGCGGGTGGCGGCCATGGTTTTGGAGAGGAGAGTGAGGTTGGATATATGGGGGGAATCGAGGTTCAATTGGAGGTGGAAGGGGAGCAAGTCTCAGGTTGTGGTGGTTTGCAGGTTTCGGGCTTAGGTCATTCCTTTCTGTCGGGCGTTGATTGGCCCGCAGGATTTTGCTGGAGCGCGACCTCACATCTTTCCTCTTCTGCGGCAGCCGTCTTTCCCCAATCTCTACCCTTTTACTCTCCACCATTTCCTTTTTAATACATTAGATCTTTTCAGCCTTTGCGCTTGTCCGATCAATCTATTTCATCATGTTCCGCTCCGCCATTGTTCGTTCCTTGAAGGCTTCCGCCCCCCGTGTCATCAAGACCCCGGCTCCCTTCCACATCCGCAGCTCCCCCATTGCTGCCCAGGTCCCTCAATTCACTCCCTGCTTCGCTCAGGGTGTCCGCCTCTACTCTGCCCCTGCTGGTCTGAGCAAGACTGAGGCCGAGGGCCGGATAGTCAACCTGCTCAAGAACTTCGACAAGGTGCGTCATGTTGTTTTCCCGGGGAATCCCGCCATCTATCGGCTATAGACGAAAAGCAATATACTAACTGGATTTGTTTCATGTTTAGGTCTCCGATGCCAGCAAGGTCAGTGATTATCTATCGGATGCACCGTCGTGACCTTGATATCGCCATGAGCTACAAGAAAGGCGACCGAAAACATTCATCAACTAAACCCGTTTGACCTGCAGATTAACGGCGCTTCCCACTTCTCGAACGACCTTGGTCTGGACAGCCTGGACACTGTCGAGGTTGTGATGGCTATTGAGGAGGTACGCGCCCGGTTTCCCTCGGAAAAGCATCAATTGTATATTATATGATGGATATCTAACTGTTTCAACAGGAGTTCAGCATTGAGATCCCCGACAAGGAGGCCGACCAGATCCACAGCGGTACGTGAAGACTCGATGACCCCTTTTTGGTTCGTGGACCAGAGCTAACATGAATATTCCGCATAGTTGAGAAGGCTGTCGAGTACATCCTGGCCCAGCCCGATGGTATGTGAATCCCATACCACCTCTTCTCCCTTAGCAATTGCTGACTTCTTCATAGCCCACTAAATATTTAATTTGAAAACTTGGGATCGGTTGGAGAATCGGATAGAAAAAGAATCGGGATGTTGGCATCAGTGGGGCTCGTTGGACACAGCGACACTCAATTGACGTGCTATTTTGTATGCTGAATACATGCCAGTGGCCTTTCTTTCCTATATCGTGTATATCATTTGAATGCAATTTATGCAATTTTGAAGCAGTATTGCTACCACGTGGTGATAATCACCAAATGCGTCTGGACATTTTTGGTGTGCAAAGTATGTTTTCAGCTTAATGGTCCATTGAGCCATTTTTAATAGCTCCATACATAGGTATGTGTAGTTATATATAGGTACATTGTTACCTCTGTATAGTTATTATCTGATTGTACATAGATGTAGTTACATATGGATGTAGCCTCTGGAGTTTGCTTTGTGGCTATATGTTTAGTTTTAATGAACATGGACAAAAGACTAAATACATTAGTATATTGAAATTGAGTAAGAGACCATAGATATATTCCAAGTAGTCTATAGATTACCAATTTAAAAAAAATAATAATATTCGAGCCATAAAATAGAATCGGGGAGATTACCATCATAATGTCCTTTGACCGGCGTTTAAGCACCCGCAGATATTCAAACGAGCCACATCACCGAACTAACTTACTCTGAACTTCACCCTTTCACATCTCCGTCCATTACAGTCACCCATTCCTCTCGTATTTAGGCGGGTTTAGTTCAATATACCCGACACTGTATCGTTTTGGCTAGCCCACTCCGGTCACTGGTTTCCCCTGACACCGAAAGTCCCACTTCACCCGCAGAGTTTCGGTCTAAACAGTCTCAACATCTCACCAACCCAGACAATTCAAACAACACCGGCATATAGATCGGAAGCATTTGGTCATATCCGGCCATATCCCTCTCCATCCCTTTTCTATTCTCCACGCCAACCCGACCCGATCTCATGGCCTCAGCAGCCGGGGGCTTGACTCGCCGCAGAGGCGCCGGTCGAGTCGCTGGGGCAGACGAACAAGATGACAGCCGAGTGTCATCGCCAATCTCCCGAAATGGCTCTGCGATGGATAACCGTGGACCGGAGACGTCGTTTACCAGTGCAGAGAATGGCCACAAGATCGCGTTCGACCCCCGCGACATCAGCGAAAATGAGGAACGGGGCAAGCAACCTAAATTGACTCTGATGGAGGATATCTTGCTGCTGGGTCTGAAGGATAAGCAGGTGAGTCCTCATGGATATTATCTCATGGCTGATTTGCTCAATTCGTGGTTCCGATCACTGACCTCGCGCCCGCGCCGCAACAGGGTTATCTGTCGTTCTGGAACGAAAACATCTCCTATGCCCTGCGCGGGTGTATCGTTATTGAACTCGCACTCCGCGGCCGTATAAGCATGCAGAAGGATTCGTCGCGGCGACGTTTCCCCCTGGCTGACCGCATCATCGAAGTCATCGACGATACATTGACTGGGGAGGTCTTGCTGGACGAGACTCTGAAGATGATGAAGTCAAGCGAGAAGATGAGCGTCAACTCATGGATTGATTTGCTGAGTGGTGAGATCGACTCGTAGAAATTTGGCTTGCGACGTACTTACTGACCGGGACTGTTTGTAGGCGAAACCTGGAATTTGATGAAGATCGGATATCAATTGAAGCAAGTCCGGGAACGACTGGCCAAGGGTCTTGTGGACAAGGGTATTCTCCGGACCGAAAAGCGCAACTTCCTTCTCTTCGATATGGCGACGCATCCCGTGGCCGACGGCGGCGCGAAAGACGAGCTCCACCGACGGGTGCGCAACATCTGCAGCAACCGCACCGTGATTATCCCTCCTAGCCCATGGCTCCCCGAAGACGCCGAATACCGATACATCCGTTCTATTTCCATGGTTTGCGCCGCATACGCCGCCAATGTCCTCGAGAACGCTTTGGTTACCATGAGCCACGAGGCTCGCGAGAGAGCTTTCGCGCAGGTGGATGAATTGCTAGCAGAGTACTCGCAGTGGCCGTTTGGCCGGAAGGCCGGAGGTTCACAGGCTATTGGAGCCAACCTGGCTCAAGTAGTCAATGAGGAGATCAATCGGAACAAGGATAAAGAGCTTCAGATGGAGGTAAGCTGCACCTCATACTTCAAACGTTTGACTCGTGCTACGTGCTAACCAACAAACAGATTGTCGCCGCATGCTTGAGCGTTTTTACCAGACTTGATTCTTTACTTTAACGGAGGTACCGCGTAATACACTTGTCTTTTGTTCTTCACGACTTCTTTCTCGTCTTCCCTTTCGCTCGTCTTCCCTTCGCTTGCCTTGCACCTCGGCCACAAAACTTCGGTTTCTTCTTCTGTTCATGTAGTTCGATCTTGTGGGATGGGGCAGAGCGTTGCTTCTTTTTTTCATATGGAATCATCGGGTCAAAACTTATGCTTGTATGGGATATCTCATTAACTTTGATTTACTTCACCCTTTGTTTTATTCTTCTTCTTTTCTTGGACCTGGCTTCTGGTGGCATTGTGCATGTGGTCTTTGTCCTAACCAAGTAAGTGGCCCAATATCTTCAAATTGATACACAACCCTAGCTTGCTTTCCTCGGCATTGCTTCTTCCTGCGATGTACTTGTGATATCTCTGTATTAAATCATTGCATCAACATGACAATCTAAGTATAGGCAACGTTATTAACCCTAACAACCACCATCCCACCACGCCGACTCCCCGCCGTCCCAGCAGCTCCAGAAGCCAAAAGATCCGCCGCACGCGCAAGATCAACAATAGTATTCTCCCTCCCACGAACCAGACTCTCCTCCACCAACTCCGCAATCCGCTCCATAGCTGGCCCATCAGGATTAACAGGCACAAACCTACTCTTAATCCCACGCTTCTTCTCGCCTAGCAAATCCTTCTCAGGAACAAGCGGAGACTGCTGTGCAACCTGGCCATCTACAACAGTCAACACAGCCCCGTAGTCCTTGACAACACCTGCAGCATGAGCCGCCCGGAATACTTCCCCGCCAGCACAGTCGAGCACAATATCAACGGGCTGCCAGCGACGTGCGCGGAACACCTTCTCGATATTACACTCCTCCGGCGATGGGAGATGCGGGATGATGACTATCTCGTCCACTTCCCAGTCCTTCTCGATGATGTCGGCTTCGACTTGCGTGCAGGTTACACAGATCCATGGCCGGACGGGCATGGGGAAGAGCGAGTCAGCTCGCAGGATCTGCACTGCGATCCGGCCGATATCATTGTCACGGGCGTTAGTGACGAGCACTCGGATCTTAGACAGTTTTTGCTTCCCGTTGCCATTGGAATTCACGCTACCAATTATACTTCCTAGCAGGCTGTCGCGCCGTCCAGAGCTACCGTTGCCAGTGACTAGGTCGACCAGGCTGGCGCGGCGCGAATTTCCATTGGCATTGGCACCGGTAGTAGGATCGACAGTGCTAGCAGCGCGAGTGGCTGGAGCATCGGTGTTGCCTTTGATTAGGCCGATCAAACTGTTGCGACGGACAGTAGCCTTCGGGTTGGGGTCGACTGTGCTAGCAGCGCGAGGGATAGTTTTTTTGCCACTGGGATTACCGCTAACGAGACTGATTAGGCTCTCGCGACGCACATTCTTGGGGGTGGGAGTGGGATTGACTGCTTTTGCAGCAGGAGGGATATTGTCAATGTCATCACCATTGCCACTGATCGTGCCAGGGGTATTGCTGTTGAGTGCAGAGCCGCGGCGATTCCACTGCCAAATCCAACGCCCGTTCTCAGCTCCGCTGCCAGTACCACTGGTAGTATCATTTAGCATGCCGCCGTTACCAGCGACTGTGCTTTTGCGGTGTCCGTAGCCATAATCCTTGCTACCTAGCACGGACTCACGGCGTTGACGCTGCCAGAGCCACCGTCCCGCCCCATTGCCACCGCTTTCAAACTCATCATTCACCTCACCCAGTCCTCCGGGCACATCGGGATCAAGCCCAGCATACCGGAAAAGCGCCTGCCAGGCTGTCAACGCCGGCAATGCAAGCGCTGCCGCCCCAGCAACAGTGATATTGTCTGGTTTCAGCGCTAGCTCGCCCTCCGTCGCAACTGCATAGTCTGCAGCTCCACCATCACGAGTATAGCTCACCACGCCGAAAACTATATCTCCAATTTTGAATCTCGGGCCTTCTTCCCGCTCGTCGTCTTCGCGCGGCGTGCTGATGACTGTCCCACAGAGGCTGTGGAGTGGAATCTGCGGCGTGGTGTTTGGCGGGTTGAGGAGTCTGGCGAGACGAATCTCGTCGTGGCAGAAGGCGGCTGTGGTGATCTTCAGGAGGTATTGCTGATCGGAAGGCTGTGGGGTTGGGAAGCCAGCATCGAAGACGAGGTTTGTTCCTTTCTGGCGGATGATGCTTGTGCTTGTGTCGGGTGAGAGGGCCTCGCTGATTTCTCCTTCTGGGATTCCGTCGGGTGTGTCGCTGTCTAATCCGTCTGGGGTGTAGTAGAGGGCTCGCATCGAAAGTGGTGTGAGAGGCGAGTCGTTCAGGGTTGAGGAGGTTGGCTTTGGGGGATGTGAACTGGGCTTTATGGCTTCTGAAGTGCGTCCTGTCGCTTCTGAGGTGTATTTGGGAGGTTCGGATGGCTGCTCCATGGCTTCTGGGGTGCGTGTTGAGGGCTCTAATGGATGCTTGGGGTCTTGTTCCACGATAGGTTGTGTGGGGGGTATGTCTGACTGCATAGTGTCATTGGGATCTTGATGCATCTTGTTAGTCTAGAGATGTTTGAATCTTTCCAATGGGTTGCTTGTAAGGAAGTTGAGGCTTTGGAAGTAGGGTCTTCTCTTTTGCCATGATAGGTCTATAGATCGGAGGCCATTTCCTAAGCTTGACGTATGTAGGGCTTAGGTCAACTTCGCCACTTGACAATCCCGACCAATTCAATTGCAATGAGCAATAATATTTCTATTTGACTTGATTTAACATGAAAATATAGCATATAGAGTTTATGGTTTGTGAAAGACGGGTAATATGGTTCAATATCAAAACAATGGCACCGTGGGAGGGCATAGAAGGTGAAGCTACAAGCCAGAGGACTAGTTTTTTTATATCACATATCATGCTGACATCTGTAATTGAGGCCAGATAAATTGAAAGCTAAGTGCGGTCCGTTTGAATATGTAGCCCCTACAGCTGACCTAGGCATCGCATTCCACTTGGGTGATATAGATCGTTACGTGCCATATACCTTCAAGGTACGGTGGACACTATAGTCTAGCGGGTTGATAGTTATGGTGCATTTATTATCCCTCAACCCGCTTACCTTGGTGTTTGCGTGCCTTCCTTATCACCTGGACCGGACGTGCCCTTTTGATCGCCGGTCAATCCAGGTGATGACTTTTTTATTTTTATTTCTCAGATCCTTATCTTCGGCTTTATCTCAATCTTATCTCTTCAGGGCTGCACAGGTGGCTTTATCTCCTATCTATGTGACCTCGGGATGGCACGGTAACGTTGTTCTTGCGTGTGTCACTGAGTATCACGATGATGGGAAAGGCAGAAAATGTTTGAAAGCATAAAGTCAAAATAGCCAATCCAACTAAATATGTACAGATTATTACATCTACAAAGCCTGGTCCTCCATACCCAGCCCATCAACAAAATTATACAACTCCTGCGGATCCTCAAAGACCGTCCAGATATGTGATGGAACATACTGAAACGCCTTCTCAAACCTCGCCGGTTCATTCTTCTCTTCCATATGCGCCACATCCTTAACCTTGCGAATGATGATAGCATGAATCCACTCGGGATACCGACTATACATCTCTGCATAAGCCTCCGGATCCTTCTGCGTCGAATCCCCTATACAAAGCACCCTCCGACGCGGGAACCACCCCCGAATCTTCTCCATCCGATCAACCTTGTACTCCTGTGTTTTCTCAGTGAACGACTTGATAAGCCCCGTGATATCCATCCACGAGTAATCACGTAGCACTAGTGTGCCCGGGGAGTAGTGTTCATCCAGGAAGTCGTGCAGGAAAGGGTACAGATTATACGGCGACGCGGAGAGATAAAACCACGCTGGGAATAGCTCGGAATGAATATATTTATAAAGCTCCGGCATACCAGCAATAGGCTCAGGGATATCCGCAAACGTTGTGCGAATAATCCCCGTCGGCTCAAGCGTCATAGTATGCTTAATAGTGTCGTCAATATCCGAGATAACCAGCCAGCCCTCAGGCGCAGCAAAAGTAGTGCTCATTGACACAGCCTCATCGCCGAAATTCTGAAGTCGCGGTCGCACAAAAGCCCCGTCGTAGACCTCGACTTCGCCCATATCAACCGTTTGGCTGACGATGCCGTTGCGGTCGGACGGGCCGAGTCCGTGCGACTGCGCCGGCCGGGATAGGGGTATCTGCAGCGTGACCGTGCGCGCTGGTGAGACCTGGTTGAGAAAAGGCTGGACGCGCTCTGCAATGCGTCGGCGTGCTTCGTCGTCGCTGCCCACATCGCCGTCCAGCCCGATGTGGTCGGCGATTGCGGCGACGAGGTTGCCCACGTCCTTCCGGCCTTCTGTTTCGAAAATACAGGCAACTACTTCGGCATGCCAGCACGGCTGGTTCTCGTCTGTCTCCTCATTTACCGGCTGGTACGCTGTATTGTCTAGCAGCCACACGGTGTGCTCGCGTGGGTTTGCTGGGTGCGCGAGTGGGTTTTTAGGACCAAGGAAGGATGAGAAGAAATTTATCAAGGCCGAGCCGCGTTTTTCTTGTGTTGGTGTTGGAGATGTGGCAGTTGAGACCTCATGAACCTCCTTTCTGGCATCAGCGACCGACAACTCGTCTGATTTGTGGTGCGGCATGGTACTGGTGCCGACTTAGCTTCCAGTTTCAAGGTTGAAGCGTTGTCTATGATAAAATAGTAGTAGAATCAATCCCGAATGAAATCCCTGAAAAGCACATGTCAGGGCGCAAAGATGCAAAAGAAATAAATGAAACTCATCAGGGGAGAGACGATCATATAGCTAGTTCCCTAGCCCCCGTTAGTTGACGATCTAGCGTTAGTGCCATCCGGTGCTCTTCAGCCAAGAGGCTCCATTCCCACCTGATCTTATCTGTCTTTGAAGGCATTCTCGTATTCGATGTCATATTTGAAGTGAAGACACAAAATATTTAGGTGGGTGACAGGGGCAGGGCCATATGAGTTGTCAGTTGGTCAGGTCAGGCGAACAGAGCACCCATTGCGGGGGAGTTGGCTTGGCAGTAGGGCTGAGCCTTTGATGAACCTGATGAACTTCATGACTTGATGAACGGGTTTCTTTAACCGGGTGATCTGGAACACAGCCACGATGCGTTTCAGAAGATTTTGGAGGCTCTGAAGTTATGACGTATCTGTGTGTGGACACAGAATTTATCTCGTTTACTACTAGACGGACCGGACTGAGGTTTATACAACCAATATTCTACCTACCCTGGAGGAGAGCGTATTCTTTTTTTTATTCAACACTGTCATGATGGATCAAGTCTATATTTAGTAACTGTCCGGTTAACTTGTATGAGATGTACACTATCCAAGCATATCAGATCATTCCTGCAACGGGTATCCGTAACCAACCAGCATAGCAGGTTCATCAATGCTGTGATGCTGATAACTGAAAATAGGAAAAAAAGTTAACTACCAGGCTAGTAAAGTGGGATTAAGGAAAATTACCTGAGGACGCCAACAGCGCCAGGGTCGAGCATCAGAGAAAGAGGGAACTCCATAGGGTATCCCAACCAGCGCTTGGTAAAGGCACGAAGCAAATGTCCGTGTGCAACCAGCAGGATATCAGAAGGGTTCTCTCCGTGCATGTTGTCCTTGTGCATCGCACGAATCTCCTGAATGAGATTATCAAGACGGTCCGTCACCTGTTGCGCAGACCTGTATTGACCTGGTCAGATATACTTGATCATAGGCGATTGGACATAAAAAAAAAGCCTTTTCTTTCTTTCTTTCTTTTAAAAAAATGACTTACTCTCCATTCTCACAGCCGTCTCTCCAGATATCCCACTCGCTCTCGGTATCCAGACCGTGCTCCTTTCTCAAGGCCCGGATTTGTTTAGTCAACAGACCTTCATACAAACCGTAATCCCACTCGGCCAATCTGTCGGTTTCAGAGACCTTCTGTGCATCTTTAAGCGCTTGCTTATCGGCATCAGAGAAAGCAATCTCATAGGTCTGCATTGCCCGCCTGCGAGGACTGATGTAGACATGGGCAAGCTTAGCCGGGTCAATCAATTTGCCGGATCCGACAATCATCTTGCCAGATGCATTGACTTGGTTGACACCATCTTGGGTGAGCTCAAGCTCAGTTATTCCGGTGTACCGTCCGTTCTTGGACCATTCCGTCTGCCCTAGAACCTAGTTAGACTACCAAAAGAAGATATGGACGTTCTGGAACATACCGTGTCGGTAGAGGAAGACACGGGGTGTGGTGGAGTCTTTATCGGGCATGTTTGCACTATTGTTCAAGGGCAGCTCAAGGATGGTGGTTGAAAGTGGGTTGCGGGATTGTGGGAAAAGTGGAAAGGATTTCCGTCCCCGGTGAGTTTTGAACTTCACCCGCCACGTGTGCTAACTCAACTATAAGTAGAATAGTAGAATATTGACTTTTTATTCTACCTGCATGGGTATTTCTAAATAAAGGGCGTCGCATAAGAGAGGATTGCTAAATGGTGTACTTCATATCTATGACCTGGGAGGCGATTTTGCCCCGCCATCGCGGGGTTAGTGCTTTTATAGTACTTTATAAGTCAATGATGTCTTGAATAACACAGAACAATTTGATATTCGTATACATTAAATCAACATATATATGAATAACTTTGATTTGTATAGCTTAGAATAAATAGGGTTCGTTTACAAACATCTATGCCATTAAATGAGCGCCGACATGCTCATAGTACACAATAAGCTTGGTCTAGTAGTGTTTCATCGACAGTGGCCTTGTGTTGAACCATGCAGACATATACCTTTCCTTTTGTCTAATCCTTGTCAAAGAGTACCTCGTCCATCCCATTCAGAAAACAAATGCTGTATGCGGAATGATACCACAATAGCAATGGCCCAAGCCGAGATTAAGTCGAGGTCTGTATTTCTCACCTAAACTATCAACTATTTTTTTGTCTAGATAAAATCTCAGACATAGAGATCATTATCCAATTGATACCTTGCATGTCTGGTTCAACCTTCGAAAAAAAAAAGAAATTGAAATTTATTTTAGCCCTTGCATATTCCGAGTCTTGCGTGTCCTGGACGTCCCATAAAGTCTTTCTGTTATGTTTACCTTAGCAAGATAAACAAAAAGCCAAAGCAGCTTCCAATGTTGATATCTTAAACCGATATATCAGATTGCATAATCCACTTGAATTCGGCACGAAACGTGACTTGAGCAGGTATGTGGCATATAGATCCATTTACAGAGCGAGACTGATCCTAGCATATACCAGCCAACGATCCTCCAATATTCCAACATGCCTTCGACAATTTCATATGTGCTACCTACCCCAGCATCGTTTCAAAATCGAAACGCACTCAGATACGCTCCCCGTCGGAAGTACCGACCCAATCGAGCTCCCACCCGTCCGGTCTATATGGATGCAAACCCGTTCATCTGTCACACTTCCTCACACTCGTTGACGCATTCTTGGCCCAAACATCATGCAGTCGATTGCCCACGATGCCATCGGCATCATGAAGTCAGTTTTTGCAGACAGCAGCGGTAGTGAGAAGGATTTGAGCTTGGGGATTTACTTTGGGGGCATAATATGATGTAAAGTGGTTAGGCTGGCTGGTACCTAAATATTCCTTTCTATAACCTGCCTAGCCATCTGGCTCCCAAAGTGAGAGTGATGTGAATAATATTTAATGTGATTCTTTGTCAAATATACCTTTAATCTAGTGGAAAAAGAGAGAATTGAATATCTGGTTGGTGAGATTTCAAAGAAGGATCATTGACGAAGGTCACAAAGGCTCTGCTTGGCGGCAGAGCGATATACATGAGAGTGAAGTAAGAGTGAAGTGAGTCGAGGCATGAAATACATCACAACCAGACGCAAGTGGTACTCACTTTAATGTACCATCCTCAAAGGGAGAACTCCATAGTTGTCCATGTTCGCCTCAATTGAACCCATATTGCTCAGTTTTATATTATATCAGTATCTGGTCGAGGTGATGAGATCGGAATCGACATGGTGGATGACTCTACCTAGGGTTCCCTCTATGATATGAGATTCGCATCTGACAAGTCTGATATTGGTCTTTAAGAAACGTTGAGATTGGGCGCTTAATACTTCCAGCCTTATTATCATTAAGTAAATCTTTATGAAAACAATAAGCTCTCCTCTCCTCTCCTAGTTCCAGAGGAATGTGAATTCTACACCATTCCCTTCTAAACATTCAAGCAACGAAGCCGCCTTTCCATCTTGTTCTTCAAGATCACCAGCAAGCTTTCGTTTCTGCGCCTCGAGTTCGAAGATAACGCCCCTTTGTTCGTCAATCATGCCTTTTTTTTTATCGAGCTTCATTGCCTGCATTTTGAGCTAGCATGATTGTTCGTTGAATCGAGACAACAGTTCCGCGTATAGCTGTTCAAAATGCGGCCCATCTTCAAGATTGAACATCATCTCTGAATGTTTGTCGTCTGCTGTCCATTGCTCAATGATTTCAACCAGATCCACTAGGGTATTGTGGCTTGGCTGGAAAAACTCTCCTTCGCCTGGTGTCATCTCGTTGATCAGTTCTTCTTGGTACTCGAGCTCCAAAAACATCGTGCTGGAGATGTCACCGAAGACTTCCTTCATCTTCGCATCTCGCTTTTCTAGCGCAGAGGCTATTCTAGTCTGTTCCCCGAGACTATGAACCAGCATTCCATTTTGGCACTCGAGATCACGAACAAGCTTTTTTTTTTTGGAACTCGAGGTGGGAAACTTTCTTTTTCTGTTCCTCGAATTCGTATGTGATATTTGCCGTGTGTTGTTCAAACCGGCCCACGGCTTCTTTGTGCTTCTTAGTGAGGTTGAGGATAATCTGCGCCTGTTTCATTATTTTATATCTCAGCTGTGCGTTTTTTTGGGGCTCCTTAGGTGTGTCGTCAAGCTTGTTGTCATGCTGTAGCAGCATAGAGTTGCATGTTGGCCCTGGATTGTTAATCATGCACTGCGGGTTAACCAAAGATTCTCTCCATTCGGGTTCCCCGAGGAGTACGCGGTTCGTGTTTTGATTCTGCTGCTCGAGGTCGGGGGCCTCTGTACGTTGCACCTTAAGCCCAAGGGTGGCCATCACGTCCATTTTTGTTGATACGGGCTGGTCTGCCGCCGGCGTTGGGTGTTTGAAAAACAGATGTGACTCTAGTGAGGATTCTCTCTTATTTGGGTTTGGGTGGGTTGACAAGTGATAAAAGTTCACGAGAGATGGGTGCTTGTGAGTATTCTTGTGAGTGATAGTTAAGTTACGCGTATTTGTAAAGTGGATGATTCCGGTGAGTTGACCTCAGGGGACAGAGGGACATATGTTGCCGCTCGCCTTGGTCTCGCTCCGATTCCATATTTGGCCCAGAGGGAATGATTATGCCCTCCGGAATCACAACTATAATTTTAGGAGCTAAGCCAACCTTGGGGGAAAATAGTGAATTTGATGTGTGCCATCCATGGAGGGTACCTGGTACTTTTCCCTTTTTGGTGCATATAGACATCTGGACCCTCGCCGAGTACAAAATAAGACAGATATCGTTATAATGAGTCATAACACATAGATATTTGCAGCCCAATAACCAAGGAGCGGATATAGTTGCAGAGGTAGCATGGTCTAGTAAAAGGAAATCAGGTGCTCCCATAAATTGACCAAGACGCACTTTCAGAATAAAACGATCCCATCCCAATGACGAAATCGTGAGTGGCAATACTGGGTACCAGAATGCTAGATCCGAATTGAATGCACCAAGTGCACTCGCTAGGGCTATGGTCGCAACAAAGCTGTCTGTGGGCGTCGCAAGAAGAAACGAACACCCCGGATACTCCAAAAAACGACAGAAGCTGACCAAAGCCTGTTGAATGTGGGTAATTGATGTTCAATGGGCCTCATCTTCACCATTTCTTCGGGGCAGAAATCTCCGCACGAGAAAATGAGGCAGAGACAGTCTCATTTCCTTTCCGCCGCTGAATCGCCTTGATTCCCGTGCGGTCAGTGACCGTCGTCGCATTGATGATATTGTCGAATGCCTCGTCCTCGCTTCCTCCTGAGCCGGACTCAGCATCTGAGTCGACATACAGCTGCTCCGGCCGAGAAATTTTCTCCGGCTGCTGCTTTTCTTCTTCTTCCGGATTCTGGAAAGATTTGGAATTGAGAATCTTGCGGCGGATTTCGGCCATTTGCTCTTCATCTTCGGAGTCATCGGAAATCGCGAATGGGTCCTTGTCCTCATCTTCCTCTTCGTCGCTGCCCTCATCTTCGTCATCTTCATCTCCGCTTTCATCGTCCTCATCGTCTGAAGTTCGTGCGGGCAAACGATTGGTGTTTCCTTTGGTCCAGATATCATCACCTCCATCGACGCGGTTGTCTTCGTATTCGCGTTCGATCTTGGCTAGCCATTCCTCTTCCGTCCTCTTTACATCCTCTTCCGTTTCGCATGCGGCATAGCGCGCCAGAAGTTCTTTGTTGATTTCCAAGAAAGATGGTCCATAGCTGAAATGTCTGAGAAGATCTTCCGCCCATTCCAGGCGACGGCAGATGGCGAAACAAGCGGCGAGCGCTTCGACGCAGTTCAGGCGCCATGGTTTGCCGTAGTTAACCGTGTTGGCAGCGATAAGGTAGGGGACTGTATAGTAAGATAGTTAGCCCCCCCATGAATACAGTTCATCGTTGCCCAATTTTTATCACATACGAAGTCGTTCACATTTTCCGCCGATTCGCGACCAGGGCACTTCTTTGACTCTCACCCAAGAGCATTCCACCACGGCAGCACCGTGCTGTTCCATGATATCTTTGTCTGCGGGAGAGATGATTCGCTTGGCATTTGGACTAGTCAATTGTCAGTATACGGGCTAATAAAACACAAAAGATGCGCTGCGAAACATACGAGACGATCACGCCGGAGTGCCGCTGGCCAATGTGAAGCTCCCGCATCAGACCAAGCTTCATCAGTCGCTTTCCTGAGCATCTCTTAGGGTCGCAGTGTCCCATATCCCAACAGGCAGCCTTGTAAGGAGGCCTCGAGGAGGAGGCGCCTTCACCTGCTTCATCACCGCGGGGCACTCGGGGGCGGGGGCTATTGTTGAATTTCTTGCCTCCTCGCGAGAAGTTGTCTTTTTTGTGGCGGACCATGATGAATGATGAAATAAAAAAAAACCAAAGAGAATATCTAAGAATACCCTAATTGGAGTATCTTGAAGTATTCTGTAGTGGTAAACGTAGTGATTGGGGAAAAAAAAGATCCAAGCACAAGCGCCACACGTGAAGGCTAAACGGGTTCTCCGCCCGCATCCCCGTCCGCGACTGTACACATCTCCTCTAGATCCTTGTGCTTTCCAGTACCTCCCTCTTTATCCGACTAATACCATTTTCTCTATTGTCTCTTGTCCACCGTCATCCTGGAGGCTGCATCTGCACGAATGGCGGCTAGGGACCGCTTCGGTGTCTACGCTGAGCCAGGCGCTTCGCCGTTGCAGCGGGCAATCCGTGAGTCTAGTGTTGGAATGAATGTAACACAGATGATTCATACTGATACTTGATTATCCATAGGAAATGCCTGCGATCCTCAAAACTACGAGCCGAACCTGGCCCTGAACCTCGAAGTTGCGGATCTAATCAACTCCAAGAAAGGCAATGCGTGAGTAAGAACTCTCACGTTATATGGCGCACACTCATAAATTCATTTCTTAGACCCCGAGAAGCTGCATTCGATATCGTTCATCTTATCAATTCCCGAAACCAGAATGTCGCATTGTTGGCGTTGGCGGTACGTGGGGAGCTCAAATGACAGCTGGCGCGGGGGAGGCTGACGATCGTGGTTTCTAGCTACTCGATATTGCTGTCAAGAACTGTGGATATCCATTCCATCTACAGATCGGCACGAAGGAATTCTTGAATGAATTGGTCCGCAGGTTCCCCGAACGGCCACCCATACGGCCCTCTAGGGTCCAGCACCGCATTTTGGAGTCGATCGAGGAATGGCGCCAGACTATCTGCCAGACCTCGCGCTATAAGGCTGACCTAGGCTTCATCCGGGACATGCACCGTCTGTTGCTTTATAAGGGGTATATGTTCCCGGAGGTCCGCCGAGAAGATGCCGCGGTCTTGAACCCAAGTGATGTATGTGGCCCCCCATATAATATTGTTTGCGCAGCCAAATTAATGTTAGTTAGAATCTCCGCTCCGCGGATGAGATGGAAGAGGAAGAGAGGGAAGCACAGTCTGCCAAACTCCAGGAGTTGATTCGGAGAGGCACTCCCTCCGATCTACAGGAAGCGAACCGGCTCATGAAGGTCATGGCAGGATTCGACAATCGGCATAAAACCGACTATCGAGCAAAGGCCGCGGAGGAGGTTGTTAAGGTGCAGCAAAAAGCCAAGATTCTGGAAGAGATGCTGCAGAATCAACAGCCCGGGGGAGCTCTCCCCGAAGGGGACGTTTTCGAGGTGGGTGATAAAACGTCACATGTGTTGTTTGTTAGTCGATTGGCCGCTGATGCTTTTACCAGGAGCTTGCGAGTGCTTTGCAAAGCGCTCACCCCAAAATCCAGAAAATGTGTGAGGAAGAATCGGATGATCCAGAGGCCGTCCATAAGCTATTGGAGATAAACGATAGCATACATCGCACAATCGAGCGATATAAGCTAGTCAAGAAGGGTGATCTGGCTGCTGCATCTCAGATTCCAAAGGGTACACTGGGCACCACGACCGGAGTCTCAAAAAATGCAAACAACGAGCTCTCTCTGATCGATTTCGACCCGGAGCCTGAACCCAGTTCCAACGGTAACGAGGCGGTGCCATCCCAGGGTGGTAACTCCTTGGAGAATGACCTGCTCGGCCTTTCATTAGGTGAACAAGGCCCCTCACCCGGAGGTGGTATATCTCTCGGATCTTCTAGTAAGTACCGCGGCATAATATTTCCCAAAGAAGTACCCCACTGACCAATATCGAAGTGAATTTCCCGTCCATGTCAGCAAGCTCCACGCCGCCTGTTCCACCACAGTCGCAGCAGCAGGCGCCAGCAGCCTTCAAACCCAATTATGATATCCTTGCTTCTATGAACAGTTCGCGACCTGTCTCTCAATCTCCCACACCCGTCATGGGGGTCTCGCCCCAAATTCAGTCCACAGCGACTCCGCCCCCAGCGGCTGACCCATTTGCATCGCTCGTCTCTGCCAGTCCACGGGCAACATCTAGTCCCTTCCAGCCACCGGCGCAAAGCCAACCTGCTTCGTCATCATTGCTTGACTTAGTCGGAGGCACGGGTCCGTCTCCGCAACCGGCGCGGCAGGCCGCTCCAGTGGAAGACGATGAATGGGATTTCGCATCCGCATTGCCAGCGACCAATGCACTTCCATCGACCAACAAGATCCAAGTCCTCAACTCCCAGCTCCGTGTTGAGTTTGCTGCGCGCCGGGTGCCGAACCAGCCACGCCAGATTCACGTTGTAGCCATCTTCTCAAACACAACCAGTCAGCGTATTGGAGATCTCCATTTCCAAGTCGCCGTGGAGAAAGTAAGCCATTTGCCACTATATCCATAGTCCACTTTCTAGATAAGTTTGCTGACAATTGATTAGTCCTACACGCTACAGCTTCGGCCGCAATCGGGCCGAGACATTGCACCCCAGCAGCAAAATGGGGTCCAACAGGAGATGCTCATCGACGGAATTGATGTTGGAAAGGGCAACTCGGTTAAAATTCGGTTCAAGGTGTCTTACAAGCTTGGCAGCGAGGCCCGCGAGGATCAGGGGATGGTGCCACCGCTGGGAATTGCCTAAGCACGACCCCAGAACTTTATTTTGCTGTTTCCGTTTGCGTCCGAGATTTCCCCCTAGATCTGCGCGATGGGAGCTTGGCTTGGACAACCTAGCATCTACTCCCGTTAAATCGTGTTCTTATGTATTGATGCTCCAATCCAGGCATCGGCGGATTTGGCTCTTCTCTACCCTTGATTGATGTCCTTTTCCTTTGGCTTTGCACTCGTTGAGAACTTAGCGTCTTTTTACCTATTCATGCTGTTTATAAACAAGATTTCATTTGCAATGGGTTTCCTCTCGTGGCAAGGGGAGGATATGCATGTGCATGTGCGTGTGGATTGACTGGTTGATTCGCAACGATCTAGATATGAAAGTAGTCAAGAGCGAATCAATCAACCAATCCCTGTGCTCTCTCCATGCGAAAGGGAGAGGGACCGATTCCCTTGCCATACTCCATACTCCATACTCCATCCGATAGTACTAAGCCTCCCAAAGCGACGGTACCGTCCTACCTGACTGAGTAACCGGCGTGCACACTGGGCACGAGGAACTAGCCCTAGCGCTAAAACCCACGTACCTGCAGGCACGTTCGTGGAATGTACCCCGAAGAAGAAAATGAAAATAAGAAAACCAAAAAAATAAAGTCAACTCCGCGGAATTTTCCCCTTGGCCCACCCAGTGCCACGGCCACTGTGATATTTAGCCACACATTCCCTTCCCAGTATGTATGCCTGCAGATCTCGGTGGGCGTTTCCCATAAATCATCCTGGCGGATGTATGCGACATGAACAGTAGTTTAGGTTTATATTGTGGCTGTGAGTGTGGAGTTTCTATGGAGCGCTTGTTCGGTTACCGATCGTTCTCCGAGATCGACTTTATCTCGGTACCCCTCCTGGTGGAATTCGGGGATTGGTTGTTTGACCTGGGCGGATACTGGAGATGTGAGAGGCCCGTGAGAGACCCCTGGGATTAATGTTGATATCCAATGTTAATTTCCCAGGTCTATGCTTTCTCACAGATTGTCCGGAATACATGGACACATGTACTCCGTACTTCGTCCGACGGACATGGTATGGGCGATCAGCGGGGGTGATCGGCCTGATTGCGGAGTCCCCACTACTATGTACATAGTAGTTATGTACATAGTTACATTGTAGCTAATCGTTAAGGATAAGACTTTAATTGGGATTGTTAATATGCTGATCGTATTACAGTAAAATAAGACATGGGCAGTTCATGTAAAATAATATGAAATATGATATCGGATTGTTTACACAGTGGCGACTTCGGTAATCGCCTAATCTCGGCCGGATGGGATTAGGTAACCCGGCTTCACCTCCAGGGCTCCAGGGCTCCAGGGCTGGACTGCCCAGTTGCCCAGAGTCGGTGGCAAATCCCCTTGTCTTATGGGCTTTCAATATGGCGTCGTTTTTCCATGGGAGATGAGGCTAGATCAGGCAGGTATAGATCAAGGCCAAGAGAAGGAAGGATTTGGAGGCAGATTTGTGTGCGCAAGAGGCCGATTGAGCCCATTCTTGTATCGTGCAGTTACCAGTATGCCTAGTGATAGCTTACGATGGGAGTCAATTGTCGTAATCTGCATATTATGTATAATATCTACGTATTCGTGCAGCTTCTGCTGTTTATACCTCGGTTCGTATGTACGATGTAATGTGAGATAGTTATGATCCTACGCCTCGCAACATCTAACCCTAAGTGTAGGCGTTATTTCCAAGGCTATATCATACAGCCACATAGATACATACCTGTATGTATCTTTCGAGCGTATGTATACAACTAAGCTGACCACATTGGCAGCTATTAGTGGAGATAGATACTGATTCCACGCCAAGCTGATTATAATTGCCAGTACGATGTAGTCTACGAAATGAAATTCCAAGCAAAATTTGCCGAGGTGGCCTAGAGCCTGCCCAGCCCTGTGGGTGGAAGGGTACGCCTAGACACGCCAAGGGAGTCACCTAATTAGGAAGGCAGAAACTCCCAAGTCGCTTATATCGTATTCAATGAAAACCTGGGGTTGACGAAGAATTTACTTGGAATTTTCGATTGATAGGATGATCTAGATCCTGCACCGGGTCTTTCCCTCGGGAGGTGACACTAGTAATGTACCTACATATGTATTCTATTAAGTGATTTATCGCACTAAGATGCGATCGTTGATCGACGATCGAGTATCCGAAATACTGCAGTAGCTTCGACGTGCAGTAACCTTATCCATACATCTTCTAAGACGATCTTTGCTTGAAGACATGTATAATCATAGCCTTGAATTTCAGGTTCTCAGGAAATGATAAGCCGATTAACGTGTGGTGTGGTCCAGCCCTGGCCCCTGCCTGATCCGGCTATCACGTGGTACCATTCTCCTGCGTGCTACCAAAGGGACTTTCTCACAGAAGAGAGAAGAAGAAGAAAAAAAAAAACGTGACGGTCTAACGTTTAAGGAAGATGATCTGCATTGATTCTCGATAGAGTAACATCCATCGGAATACGTCTATCGGGACCTGTCTGGAGTATAGGGTAACGCCGCCCCACTTAACAACTGAAAAAGGCCTAGACCTCAAGGTCTAGTTAATCTGAAATAATTTTTAATATCTTGATAACTATACACACATGTGGTATCCTGCAGGTTTATTGCGGGATGCAGGGAGTAGTCTCCGGGAGGGCTAAAGATTCTGAGTGGCACCATATCGACTCGTATTTGGTTAGTGGCGCTCTCGAGCGGACTAGCCTGGGCAGAGAAGAGGGACTGGGCTACCATGGACCGAGCGGCCGTAAGTTTTCTAATCACCCAAACTATGATCGGCTCAGTTCCGTGGTTCTCGCTCTGAGCTTGGGCTTAACTTTGACACTCGGGTTTCCCCTCAGCCTTTTTGGTATTTAACTTACCTTTCCCCCTCTTCTTTGGTCATATACTTTTCTTATATAAATCGACCTTGACTATTACTACAACATGCCCCTGTCAGATATGGACCAGGATATCACACCTATCCCCCGTTCGCGGGAAGAGAACCAAGAGAGGTATGTAAGCTACATTATTTACCATGCAGGAAAAAAAAAAAAAAAAAAGCAAATTATTAACAATCACCTAGAGCCTTTATTGCTGCATCACGGAGAAAGGATCGCAGCTTAGACGCTCGTCTAGAATCTGCTAATCGGGCTTCTATGCTGCATAAGAAGCGTACGGGCAAGGCCTTCCACATCACCAAGGAGATTGTTGAGAAAGAAGCCATGTACGAAGAGGTCGATGAGCGGTATCAAGAAAAACGCATTCTCATGCTGCAACGCCAAAATGAGCAAATCGAAGACCAATTCAAAAACCATCTACTGGCCGCCTTTGCAGCTCGCGCTCAATTCAATGCATCCTCCATCCACAGCCGACGAGCAAGCCATATGACTCCACGCCCATCAGTCAATGGAGTCAATGGAGTCAATGGTGGTGCCCGCAAAATGAGCCTGGATCTGTCCAACATCCGCTCTTCCTTCTCCCAGGGCTCAGGCTCAATGGCCAGTCCGATGACAACGGGTGATGGCTACGTACTATCGCCCACGGCATCATACGACCCGAATGCCCAGCCCTACACGGCCTACATGAACGGTTCCCAGACACCATACTCCGATATGTTCTCTGCCTCAACAGGGGCCCCGTCTGGACACATCCCAGCCTACATGAACCAACAAGCCTCAGCGCCAACCTGGAACCCCCAAGTACCCTCATGGACCCCGATGCAACAGCACAACCCAACCCCTGCGCAAACCCCCACAGACACACACGCCGTGCAAATGTGGCAGCAGCAAATGATGCAGCAGGCTCAGATGCCTGACACCGCAACCCAAATGCATCAGTTCAGAGATCGCCTGGCGTCCGCACCAGAGTTGCCTCTGCAGCACACACCGGCCCCACACATTCCCTCAGCATCCATTTCTGGCCCCACCGGCCATGGTCCTAGCCATGGTCATTCGCGCGGCCAGTCCCAGCCATCGAACAATTTCCACAACCTCAACCTCCTTACTCAGAGTACACACATTTCTCACCCCCAGGTGGCCCCCTCCAGTCTTAGCTCTCCTAAGATCGAGGCCCTCTCAGCCGGCACTCACTCCACACCTGATTTCTGTCCCACTCCCAATACCCCACTGTCACCAACGACTGTTACCGCGCATGCTACCATGTCGCATGGTGGGAAGGTTGACGGTGATGGTATTATGGTCTCTCATGAGGGGATGGATCCTGATTTCACGGATTTCAGTCAGTTTGCTTTCCATTTGGGTAACCCAACTGTCCCGCTTTCCGATCGTGACCAGCCTTTTGGATTTGACGATCTTCTCGCTGTTGATGATTTCACCAGCGTCTCTTGTTAACTTCATCTATCTTATCATGCCTATTATGATCTATGATACCTGATATACCTAGGTGGTCCTTGATTCTTTTTCCTTGGTTTCTTTTTCTGGATTTGGGTGTATATCGGGGTTGACTATGCACATTTGCTCTTGTATCATATCTTATTTGTCTCTCTCATCTATTTCTCATTCAATATCCTGAACAGGCGTCAGGATTGGAAATGCTTGTATGTATTGGATGAATTTTTGCTCTTCTTTTTTTCATTTCTTTTTTTCCCCCCATTATTACTCTACTTTCTTCAATGTATGTACAGGTGACACGAAGAAACAAAATTTAAACAAATTCTATCCACTTTTCTTTTTCAATCTCCGTATTAAATTTTCAACTTTGATTTAACGTTGCAAGTTTTAACGTTGCATTAATCCGCAAACAACTTTCGCCAAGTCCGCATCCTAATCCGGAGGCTTCCCCACCATTCTCTTCTAAAGACTGCGCGTTTATTGGTATCTCATTTTCTTCTATGGGATAAACCTAGTCTCAGACTCTATGCTCCATCGGCCCGTGCCAGTAGAGCTGTAGCTATCCATACATATGTAGCTAGAGCTATAGCTTCCCCCAGTACAGTCCCGCCCCACCTAGACATTACATACGTAGTAGTGACTTTTTACCTTTCTCTTCTCTTTAACCAGGACTGTATGCTTTATCTTTAGCTTCGTGTAACAAATCTTATCCCTTGTAATTTCCACACTTTCTCCCTCCAAAATCCCGCATCTAGTAACCCAACCCCACAACCAACATGCACCCTTGGAAGTTGGTAGTAAGTCTCTAGCCTTACTTACGTAGGTCTATCCAACAATTTAAAAAAAACACAGACAAGACCTGTAGGGCTATGAGGTATTTTCTAGCCCACGACGTAGTTCCTCGTAGACCAAGTACCTAATCTAATCCCAGCGATCAGACCATCCTTAACCGTGGAACCGCCCGCCTTAATTTGTCACGCCGTGACCACGACGCTATGTCATATCCCTGGACCCTTGTGTAGATCTCAGGCTAGGCCTTGCGTGATATATGGGAACAGGTACTTTTGTATCTTGGTTGCAGGGGAGGGGAACTGTGCTTCCTCTCTGTTTGGTCTTTGAAAGTTTCGTGATCTCGTAATCTCGGTCTCGGTCATATGTGTTACCTCAGGATTGTTTCCGACTCGCGCTGACCATGAGGTAGAATAGCCTTTAGCCTTCCTTAGCTAACTTACAAATCGGAAATTGAGTTGTCTGGTGTATGTGGTAGTTTAGTTTCGTGTAGATTTAGATTTCGTGTTGAGGGAAAAGTAAATTGAAATCGATGTGCCCCGTGCCCTGCGGAAATTGGTTGCTGTCTTCCGGTCCCTGCTTGGACCGGTGAGGCGTTCCCGGGATTACGGGCCAACGGCGATCGTGCAGGATCGATTTATTCTTCTCTCTCTTTGTTTTATCAAGGGTAATGCACTGATATCCTACAAGGACCTATCAATGCTATTACGAGTAGTATTTAGAGTAACTTGACTATAATTTTTATACAAATCCCAAACCAAAAGACCAGCAACCCCAGAAGTAACCAACTGCAAGGGAAAAAAAGAGAGGAGTGACCTGCAGAATCCCAGATTGCGGGGTTAAGGTTGCAGCTGGCAAGCCAAGCCCAGACTTTAATTGGCCAATCAACAGACTAGCGCCCGCACTGACCCATGAGAAAGTATAGAATCCATTCAAACCTCTACCACGGTCGAAAGACAAGTCCGAGGGCAGCGTACCAACGGTTGAGGCATGGTTATTGTCGGCATACAGCAAATCTTACAGGATCAAAATCCGCCTTGAATAAGAGAACTCTAATTCTTCTCGCCTGGTGGAGCAGAGAGGGGATCCCCGTGCAGCTCTAACGGGGCCAGGTCCAGCATCCACTCACTGGCTCCACGAATGCTTGCCTGGATGTGGGCTCATACTAGGGTTTATATAGTTGGTTCCGGTTGGATTGGATTGCAACACTGGCCCCGTGCACGCTTGTGGAGGGGTGATTGGTGGCGATTCCTTTCTTTTTTTTTTTTTTTTTTTTTCTCTTCGCTTATCAGGTTGAACACTGGTTTCATGGCTTGAGGGTCCAGTGGGTACCCTGTCAGATAGTGTTGGGGATGACTTCCAAGGTTGATAATAGGCCCATGGGTGGTGATAGTGATGGTGAGGGTAGAGGCCCCGGCGTGATAGTCCCAGGGGGCATGATTCGTGAATTTTGTCTGGACTGCCTTGTCCTTTTTTGGCCTTGGGGCCTAGGTGCCTGCGTTTGAGGTGTTTTCTAGCGGTGGTTTAACTCGGCACTCATCTCCTATTAAGGCCAATCAGGCCGTGGAGTCTAGATTAGTCTAAACCGAATCACGCTATCTTCGTATGTTATTCGCCGCGAGGTCGATTGGTTATTTCGTACATACTCGGCTAGGACTAATGAACTATATCGATACCTCAAATCGACCAAGCTGATTCCTCAATCTTCTCCCATGGTTCTAAATCGTATCAGCTTCAAAATGGTTTGAACTGGAATCTCGCCAAGCATCCTCTCTAAACTAGATACCCAAGTCCTTCCTGGTTGAGACAACCCTGCAATATCACAATCACAATTCCCAATTCACCCGGAAATTCCCCAAGGGGTGTCTCCATGATCAGCGTCTAGTCCGGTCTCTTGGTGTTTGGTGGAGCACAAGTGGCTGCAGACGAGACCCGACCGAATGGGCAAGGTGGGGCACGAGGCGAAGTGGCTGTGGATGTGTTCGTGAGATATTGCCCACCTAAAAGGACCTTCCCCGGATTTTTAGAGAGTTTACGATCTTCATCTAAGCTCATTATTTCTCTGAGTTTAGTAGAGACATGCATTTTTTTGTTCTATTCTAGGTTTGTTGCCTTACTGAGAAGATATGATATTGCTGGTTGAAGTAAAATCAATCTACTCATGACATAATAGAAAATTATCGAAACTTATCTCCAGATCGGCATGTCCGGTATCTCGACCAAGCCTAATTCCAATCTAGTAAGCAATATCTTCTAATCCAAATCACAAGGCAAGCGATGTCCCCAATCCGGTGGTACCACTGTGCAATAGGAGGGTTAGCTAAAATATGATGGGCCAGTGAGAGGCTGCCCAGGTGGAGGAAGCCAAATCCCGGGAATGTACCAGCTTACGCCAGATCCACACACAGCCCAGAGCCCGGCAGCCGATCAACGCCCCCTACTCGAGTCATGCTGATACACAATTCAACACAAAATGCCATCAAAATGACGGAATGACGGAGCAATAGGGCCAAGAGCACGTTGATCTGGTTGTCCTCTTATGTTCGGTGCACAAGAGTGGATCTCATTGCGTGTGTGTGGGAGTGTTCGCGCCGCTGGACAGTGATGGATGGGACACAATAAGACGGCTTTACGGATGCCGGAGATGCTTCTCCGGCTGACTGGGACGGTGTGCGATTAGGGTGCTATTCTGTGGAGATCCATTCTTGAAATTCGAGTGGATATTCGGATCTTGTCCGTGCTACGATGGAGGATTTGTCGATCATCGGACAATGCCAACGAGGATTCGTCGATCAGACATGGAGACGTGAGTTCCGTCGGCATTGTCCGATGATTGTCGATCTAAGCCTGATGTGGATCTTGTATAGATCTGGTTGATCTGGTAAGGTAGACTCAAAATTCAGGCATGAAACATCCATAGTCTAGCAAGATGCAAGCGAGGGAGTACGCATGGAGATAGTCAATTGAAGTTGTTTTGTAATGCTGATCCACAATGGAAATCATATCCGCTGCTAAAGACGACAATGAGAGGCTGGCCAAGTCCGGAGGTCCATCCGCTTGCCTCCTGTTGTATGACTGGTGAAGTATGACAAATATTCATAACTAGTGGGGTTGATTGGCATTGGGCTTGACACAGACCCAATCATGTCGGACGGAGCGAGTGTGTATATCGGATCTCCAAAATACAGTTGTACTGAGAACATACTCTGCAATCGAGCCCAAGTGTAAAACACAGTATATGCTTTTACATACCACCACGGCTGAAAAGCTCCCGGCCAATGTCACCGCTGCGGCGGACACTCTGGCTCGACGAACTACTGCGGCGTCGGCGGCTACGAGATTCCGCAGGGTCAGCTGGGTTCAACCCGCTGGCTCGGGCATGCAAGTTCAGGATGTCAGTCAAGCTGATTACTCCGGCTAGGCGCCCGGACAGTCGGGCACCGTCTTGGGCAGAGGAAGGAATAGAATGGGAGATGGGTGACGGCACTGCGACCGGCACGCCTGGGGCTGGGCATGTGTAGGGTAAGTTAGGAGTTGGTAGGTGAGGGGCGGGATGTTGAGAGGGCTGTGCAGAAGGTGCTCCAGATACAGAAGGAGATGGTGGTGGTGAATTTGCAGTATACGATGCGGTAGGTGGGCTGATGCTGTTGGAAAGAGGGATGTGCACTGAAGACTGCGAGGGAGTTGGAGGTCCTGATGAGGTTGGAGATAATGGATCGGTCACCCAGAGCCTAAAAGCAGTCAGTACATCTTCTGCTTATGTCTCAAGTGTTTTGTAGTTACCGATGTGCTCGAGTTGCCACGATCTTTGCGACTGTGTGGGCGAGTGTCGATCCAGGATTGACATGGAAAACCGGGAATGAATCTTTACCCTCAATCAATCCCCGTGTGGACAGAATGACCGAGATGAAGTGAGTGCAGGTGTTTTGAAGAAGCGGCAATGAAGATGATCGGGTCAAAAGCTACCAATTTGTGAGTAAATTTTGCTATTGAAGATGACTCGTCACATACCTTGACATCCGCTGTGGAGATATTCCCAAGCACGTTTAAGTAGTTATCGACAACTGCGATCGAGGACATACCCTCGTTGTTCATAACATGAAGAGCATCAGAGAGGGGCTTATCGCCACTGCAAACGATAAAATGACGGTTAGATTGCTCTTCAAGTATTCATCAAAACAACTTACTTGATGGAGATCACTTCTTGAGATCCAATCACCAGGTCACGCAGAGGCTTCGGGTAGAGCTCTTCAATGACCGGGAAGCTGCGGCCATTTTCCCAGAGGAATTTGACCAGCCGAAATTGGCTGAAGATTCCGACCACTTCTTGATCGTTTGACTCATTGACTACCACAACCCGATGAACACCACCACCAAAGATCTCAACTGCAGTCAAAACATTGGCCGATGACGGCAGGTTGATCAGCGGCTCCTTCTCCATACCAAACTTCTTGACATCTCTCAGTGGAATGGGCACGCCGTCGTGAGCTTTCTTGGCTAGCTCTTCATATGACGCTTGATGTTCTTCGTCGGGGTGTGTCAGGCCTGCTGCCAGCAGGAGATAAGAGTTTAGATCGGCATAGTCGAATGTGGCGACGGCAGAAGTGGCTTCAGGGGTTTCGCGGATCAACAGCACAGCCGCACCTGAATCAATTAAGATCTAGTTGGATGAGCACGTTAGTCCAAGGACAGGAAGTGTTAGTGTTGCCTATATAATGTACTCACATTCGTTGCCTCTTCAATGCCCGTATCGAGCTCGACAAACTTCAGGTCATCCGGGCTGACCAGCTCGCCGATTGAGATCTCTCTCCAATCACGGCCAACAAAGGCAGGGTCGATAGTCTTCGGTGGCGGGGGATTGTCGATGAGGCTCTGGATGGCGGATTGTGGAAGGGAAGGCTGCCGGCGTGCGCGGGGGGAGCCGGGTGGGCCGCGAAGCGACTCGCTCAAGCTCTGTCTGTGCTGGTGGTTTGCTGAAACGCGGAGTTGGTTTCGTGTAGAGGGGGAGCGGGATTCGGTGCTGGATCGCGGAGAAGTAATGGGTAGATTGTTCAGGGAAGTGTCGGACCCTTCGCGGGAGTGGAAGCGGCCCGCCATGTCAAAGGTTCTCGGAAGGTTAGCCAAAGACAAGGGTCAATAATATATTGCGAAAATGTGAAATGCAGCAAGGTTACTTGATCCTTCTGAGGTCATCAGGTGATGTTGATCATATTAAGTGGGTCCTTAAGCGGGGTAAATCATCTAACCAATCAAAACAGGCCAATAACAATGTCATGGCCTATACCTACCTACAAAGTAGGTAACTTAGTTAATAATTAGTTAGTTACATACATATAGCTATTGTAACTACATATGCAACCCGTGGACTACTTCAAATGTACACCTCTTCAATGTTTTCTCTCTGTCTGGGTCTTGAAAGATATTCCAGATTTAGAGCAATAATAGAGTCTTAGACACAAGGGGGAAAAACACACATTTCCATCGCAAGATTGGCATAATGTACATGCTTTATCAAAATTCCCATTTTCTATTTCTTTGGTTTCATGCTATTCCATTCAATACCCAGAGCTTCAATGATACTCAAGCAAACCATCATGAGAGCAATTTGGAAGACCTTGAGGAGCGCATCGTTATATGCCACAAGAACTTCAGGCAGAACAGATTCACTGACAACAGATCGAATGCTTGTTGCTTCCCCATTCAACACATCGGAGGGAGAAAAGTCAAACCGCAAGATTGCTGATAAGCTCCTTCGTAAAAATGGTTTGTACGACGGAGACAAACAACGACCCACCGAGCATCTGAAGGAACATGGCAATGGAAGTGCCGATGGGCACCTTTGGTAAGGGTAGCACGGCTTTTGCGGTAATAGGGTCTTGTTGGAACCGAAAGCCCACCCCCAGGACATAAATAAAGAGGAAACCGACCCGTTTTGCCTAGGACACATCCGCCATGGATATGGTAATAAGACCAGCTCCAACTCACATGATTATGATGTGACCATGATGGGCTTTGTGACTCTCCTCATCATCGGCCACGTTTCCCTCTATATGAGGGTGCTTCTCTATACCCGACATATTTAACTTGTCGACCACTTCTGACAAGAATGGACGGATAGTTTGAAATATAAAGTCGAGTAAGTTAGTTAAGGGGAGATACCTATAGATTGAAAGCGCCGGGATAATGAGTAATTCCGACCATTCCGAGTTATTCAGCATTATAAAATCAATATGGTTCAAGCGGTCGAAAGCTTCAAGCATGCGCCAAAGTCGATATACGCTACACGTTACCGGCGTTGATATCAACGCCGACACGGTCGATGCTGAGTAACATAAGGAGGCCCCACCTCAAATCGCAAATTGGGGCTCAATCAGATAATGGTTGTTAATAGACCGTAGCCCGGGATTAGAAATGGCCAGGAAGGCCGATGACCGTGGTGATGATGATCCGTACCCCTTGATTTCAGATCAGCTGATTGGTTTGACTCAGAGTCGGCGCTAGGGGGAACCTCTTCAATCAGAACCTCATCGTCTTCGGTGGCGGACTAGTGATACAGATAGACCGTACTTGTGGATGAATGCAGTGCTGCTTCGGGCTTAATTTACCACCCGTGATTATTAAGAACAGTCTACAGCAGCCGACTCCACTTATTTCGTTTGCAACTATTATTAGTCTAAGGTATGTGGGGAGCATAGATACATAACTCGACAGTGCGACTGACATTTTTGATGACACTCTAATTCCGGCGACCTGTCATCTACCTGATTTTCAAGCTCCATACCTCATCTTAATTTAGTGTCTGGACACACTCTTATTGTTGGACATCATGTCAGATGTCAAGGACACAATCCCTCGAGGGTCTAGAATCCTCGTGACTGGGGCTAACGGCTTCATTGGTTCCCATGTGGCCGATCAACTATTGAGCCTAGGCTACTTGGTTCGCGGTAGTACTCGGGAGCCCAAGCCCTGGTTAAATGAGCTCTTTGACCAAAAATACGGCAAAGGCAAGTTCGAGACTTGCATTGTCTCGGACCTCACCAGTGGAGTTCAATGGGAGGGAGCAGTCAAAGGAATTACAGGAATCATCCACGTCGTACGTGCTATTTATACGAACTAGCAAAAAAAAAGAGAAAGAGAACGTTTACCTAACATCTCACAGGCAGCTGATCTATCGATGAACCCTGACCCGAATATATCCATTCCGCGTGCCATTAAGGCGACAGTGAACCTTTTGAAAGCAGCCTCAAAACAAGCTACAATTAAGCGGTTTGTTCTGACCTCATCTTCAACCGCCGCATACCTGCCGAAGCCCAATGAGGAAGGGATTGTGCTCACCACAGGTATGTAGACGCTATTTACGACCTTTTAGAACTCGGCCTCTAACTAAGTGTTAGACACATGGAATGATGCCGCTATACAAGTGGCTTGGGATGAAAGTATTCCTCGTCAGGGTAAGGGATACATTGTATACGGGGCCTCTAAAACAGAAAGTGAGCGGGCGGCATTTAAATGGGTCAGAGAAAATGATACTCCATTTGTTCTAAATACGGTCTTACCAGGCATCACTGTGCGTCACTCCTTTTTCATATTATGGGAAATTTACTAATGAAAAAAAATTCGCAGTTTGGCAAGATCCTTGCCCCCGAAATACGCGGTTCAACGCAGTCGTTGGTCGGGAATATCCTTAAAGGAGATGCGGCAGCACTTAGGTTCCTTCCTCCACGTAAGTATAAGATGAATTTGAGCAGCAGAAAATACTAATAGAATTTATAGAGTGGTATGTTGACGTTACGGACGCTGCGAGACTACACGTTATTGCCCTTCTCTCGCCATCGGTAAACTTCGAGCGAATTTTCGCATTTGCGGCCACCCATAACTGGACCGATATCATCAGAATCCTACGAAAGCTTCGTCCGGATAATCTACTTATTCCCCCTGAGCCTGAAAATGAAGCTCAGGACTTGAGTGATGCCGTGCCTTCCAGACGGGCAGAGCAGCTTCTTAAGAGCTACTTCAATCGGTCGGGTTGGGTCAGCTTGGAGGAAAGCATCGCCGAGGGTATTTCTGGTGTATAATAGCCTATGGCATCCAATGCGTGTGACGAATGTGTTTCTTTGCAGTGACAAGACCATTATCACAATCCAAATAGCAAAAATATTCCACACCCAAGTATGAACTTCCCAGGGACATGGTAACTGAAGCTTCTGGCGCAAAAGATAATGAAAATGGCATGCGAAATCAAATAGAGGCCAATAATTGTTCAATAGGTAAGAAAAAGGGCCTTGATGGTTAGCCTTCAAACAAGTATATTTACCGACGTAATATAAATATAGAGTTGTTTTGTAAGGATATTATAGACGTTATAATTAAAGATTCTACTATGGTCTCTTTTTAGAGCTCTTTTAAGGATAATCAGTCATAACCTATGAAATAGGATGGAAAATACAAACAATAATACCCAGGTGAACTGATTAGTTCCTTTTATCATTGACCTAGGACCAGTTTCTTAACCTGCCTATGTCGGTAGTCTTTCAGCTTAATTGTCATCAAAGCTAGACTTTGCCACATATAGCTCCCTGTTCCCTGCCTCAACTTCAGAGTGTGGAAGCTCGGCAACGGCTTCGCTTGCTCGATAGAGCTCATCTTTTTCAATGCCCTCAAGGGTTCGATTCTTGGTCTCAGGTATCAGCAAGGTCACAAGAGCAGTGAGCAGCATGATCCCCGAGAACAATCCAAGGACACCCTCCAAGCCGATTGCGTCTTCAACAGAACCGAAAGCAAATGCAGTTATAATGGCGCCGCATTTTCCAGCAGCAGCTGATATTCCGTGTGCTGTGCCTCGAACACGCGTTGGGAACACCTCTGCGGGGATCAAGAACGTTGTGCAATTAGGACCAACAGTCAGCAAAAACTGCGAGAGAGCAAATATCACCATCAAGCCAGCTGTCGAGGTGTGCGCGCTTTGTGTACTGATTCCGGCCCATATGGCATAAAGGATGCACACCATGATAGAGGTCCAGAATTGTTGGCGTACACGACCGATGCGATCAGGAAGGAAGATGCCGACGTAGAATCCAGGGAGATACCCTGCTGTCTGTATGATTATATTACCCACAGCAGTGTTGTACAGTGTCTTCCATGGTGTTGCTCCATGGGCATACCCGATTCTTGCCAGTATAATGCTTTGATTAAGATTGATACCATAATATGCAATATCGCTATTTGTATTAGTTTGGGGATGCTTTTTCTTTTGAGAGTCATTAACTTACAACAAGAACCAAGAGGCCGCGGTTGCAAACAACACTTTGGCATGTTTCCAGTGACTGAAGTACTCGCAGAAGTCTTCCCACTGCCTCATGAATGTGCGTTTCTGTCCAGCAGTATCATCACAGACATCTAAACAGTATTAGCTATCTCCAAAATACAAAACTATGGGCAATCTCACATTGTTTGTAGGGCTGTGTCTCCGTGATCGTTAACCGTGCATAAAGAGTGAACATCGCAGGCACAATTCCAATGCCCAATAGCAGACGCCAGACCCATTCCAGATGGCTCAGGTTATCGGCTATCGACCCCTCAAATGCCTTGAGCAAGATCAGAAACACGATGCTGGCCGCAATATTACCGAGGCCGATATTTGAGAAAACAGTCAACACTTGGATAGCACGGGAGCCAAACGGTGACTTTTCTGCCGATAAAGATGAAGATAATGGATAGTCTTCCTTGAATGTTAGACCCAATATACACCTTTATCCCAAAGGAACATGGACTTACCGGCCCCAATTCCTACTCCAGTCACAACACGGAATATTGAAATCCATGCCGTCACAGACTGGGCCGACATCCGATTCCAAGGCAACAAGACTACCATCAGGGTTCCAAATATAGTAAGGAGAAGTTCTTTGCCATAAACAGTATGGCGACCCAAGACATCGCTTAGAACCCCAAAAAGAAGCTGACCAACTACCATGCCCAGGCTGAGGCCACCTTTCATGATGTCGCTGTCGACTGTCGGTACCTTGCCATCTTGGAAGTATAGGTAACCCAGAATTGGTACCACTGTTTAAAATTAGTCTTCGACCTAATTCAATTGATCGAAGTCACTCACCAAGTCCAATCGTCAAGTTGAGATAGCCATCTGCGAAGAATCCAACGCCCGCAGTGACGACAAATCTCAGTTTGGCTCCCAGAGATGTCATTGGAGCGAATCAGAAGATTTTTGAGGGTAACAAGAATAGAAGTGATCGAAAGGGAGCAAAATGCGATCCTAGCCCTGAGTTGAACCTCAACAGATATACATCGTTGACTTTTTGCCGAATAGTGATATTATATACTCTTTAACATTGCGTATAGTAGGAGGCGTAACTACCACAAACATTATTATCTCGGGGAGAACTACCGTAGGTCTTTCTGTGATATACATTTCTGTCGGACATGAGCTTCCTCACGAAGAATCAAAGATGCAATGAGCAACGCTCAAGCTGCCACGGGGGGATGCACCGCCAAAACAGGCCATGTGGGGAGGCCAGTCAGGAGCCCGCACTACCCCCACGTGGAGCCCGGCTTTATTCCGCCAAGTGTTACAAGTGTTGCCCATAAAATTATATCTTCGGTGCGAAGTCCGTAACATTATTCAGACGTGAAAGGTCATGCTCATTGTATTGATTCTGGTTGGTGTTGATCTGAGTTGATTTCCGATTAATGGCAGATGCAAACACTGCAAATTTCGAACATTCCCATCTGCATTGCAAGTTTAACCTCAATTGAACACACAACATGGACATCGAATTAGCCTCTCCGCCGGCTGTAAGTGCTTTGCGAGAATCATTCGGTGATCGGAAGCCACCCGATATTACTCGCAAGATTACTGCTTGTGTAGCATGTCGAAAGCAAAAGGTTAGTTCTCTTGTCGGAGATAGTTAACGAAGTAAGTAACTGACATGCGGGGAAGGTCAAATGTCATATGCGGGAGGGTCAGATACCATGCTCGCGGTGCAAGAAAAGAGGTCTCCCTTGCAGCGTGAATCGAAGCTTGCAGACATTACTGGAAGACGATGTCACGTAAGTACGACGAATATATTACACTGGCATGTCCTAATAGGATCTAGGTGGAAAGGCGCCGTGGTGCAAAAGATGCGGCGGCTAGAAGAGGCTGTTGCAAAGATTGCTGCCAAAGTTGACATGCCCGAGTTGCAAGCGTTGCAAGCTGCTCCTGCAACACAAGATGATTCTTCGAGCCCACCGGCTGAAGCTGTTAATGAAGAAGTTATCACGGGGGCAATATCTACCTCAAGTCAATCATCTCAGCCAAAAGAGAACCATGAGCCACCGCAGACATGGGAAGTAATAATGGATCCCCGAGGCGGCCCAGCCTCCATCCCGGCCTCTTGCGTCTCAGAAAGTGGGAAGGTAGGTCTACCAAATAGTTTATCAACTGCCCGTCGTCCAGATTTGATATCGACGGGGCTCATCTCGTTACGTCAAGCCATTGCATTATTCGAAACATATCATCTCAGACTTGATCACTTCCTCTATCGCATTCTTGGCGACCATATTAGTTTGGACTCGGTTCGAATCGCATCCCCACTGTTAACGACGGCGATTTGCACCGTAGCTGCTTTGCATTCTCAATCCCTCGGTCATCTCTTTGAAGCCTGCTATGGCGAATACAAGAATCTTGTCGCCGCTCAAACGTTCTCAAGACATGTGAACGAAGATGACATCCGTGGCCTGTGTGTTGGTGCATTTTGGTTGCATGAAATTTCTTGGCCCTTGATCGGAAATGGTATGTGGCTGCAATCCTCCGGTGAAACAAAGCTAACAGAACTAGCTGTCCGAATTGCATCGGACATTAATCTTCATAGTAGTATCTACAAGGCCCTCAAGGGAGACCGCGATGGCTATCGTCAAGCTCGACTATACTATCTCGTCTATGTATGCGACCACCACTTTTCGATCGCCTATGGTCGACCTCCGATGTCAAGGGAAGGGTTTATCATCGAGTCGGCTAGTCGAATACTAGAAACCGAACATGCTACAGAAGATGATGCTAGATTAATCAGCCAAGTCAAAGAATGGTCAATCCTGGGTCGTGTCTTTGACACCTTCGGGGTTGACGTTGATACCCCTGTTGCACCTCAGGCAATGCCTCAACTGCGCCGATACTCCATCTCTTTGGATACGTGGTTTGCAGATTGGAGCGAAAGCTTCAAAGAGAATCAGAATGTTGGAAATTATCCACAAAAGGGTGTTGGTTTTCACTTCCATTTTGCAAAGCTATACCTTTGCTCGCACGCCTTTCGTGGTGTACCGGTATCAGAGAGCTCACCTCAGTACATGTCTTCTGAATTGGAAGAGATCGCCAATGCCGGCGTATTGTCAGCTATGTCAATCCTTCGGATGATTGTCTGTGATGCCGAATTCCGCTCGTTCATGAACGGGCTTCCGTTATATTTCGATACTATGCTCGCCTTCGCCGTTGTTTTTCTTCTCAAAGTTGCCACGAAGTATGCATTCATGATTAGAATTGACACCGGCAAGATCATTTCTCTGGTCGCTGACATTGTGGCTGCCCTTCGGGATATCACCCAGACTATGCACAAGCACCACCTCCTTGTGGTCATTAGTGAAGGCTTGGAACGGCTGTTGAGTAGAGGCCAGATGTCCACTCAAGCAGTCCACGAAACAATGTATCGTCCTTCTCCTGCCCAGGAACAGCCCCCGGTCTTTGATGCAACTTGGATGGAAAACATGGCGAGCTTTGATTTTCAAAGTAACTTTCCTGATATTGACGACTGGTGGCTACATTATAATATATCAATGGTACCCCCTCTTTGCCCAGAGGCATCAAGATAAATATCAGATTGACCAGTTGAGCACAAGATCAAGCACGTCATAGTTCCTCCAGTCTTTAGCCCCAGCCCTGCTCTCATTGTTCACCGGTTTGGACGTAATCAATGGGACGTCTTGCTCGCTTAGACCTCCGTGCGACCGCAACGGATGGTCTTTCAATTTTGAAAGATCATGATCTGCTTTGCAGCTACCAATGACGGCATGTGGTTTGGAAATAACCACAAGGTCACCCTCTCGATCCAAAGGCATCTCATATCTTTGGGCAGCATCTTGGCCGCTAAGAGCAACTTCGACATCTGAGAGTGACTCGCAGAATGAAAGTACCGAACCAAGTTGCGTGATGTCTTTGAGATAAACGCGCACAAAGGAACCAAGTGCGCCATGGTGTCGAACAAATGGATCTGTGATGGGACAGATAACCCTGGAGGCACTTTGCCCAAACTTGGCATTCAGAACTTCCTCTAGGAAGAGAACATTTGGCTCCCCCAGCTCATTCGACTTCTGGCTCATGCCATGGTCTCCAGTTATCCCGATAACAGGAGCTAGAGCTGCGAGCCTCCGCAAACGCTCGTCAATTGCCCCCATGAAATTGTCGGCCTCATTGCTGCCAGGTTCATACTTGTGCTGGATGTAATCGGACAATGTCAAATACAAAAAGTCCGATCTCTTCTCCTGGAGCAATTTAATGCCTGCATCAAGCACAAACAAAGACAAATCGCCCGAATATTGGCTAGGGGCCGGCTGACCGAGCCACTGCTCCACATCAGAAATCCCGTTCTCGTCCAGCGTGCAATCCGCTGCCTTTTCCGAAGAAAAGCAGATAGCTCCCTTTAAGCCATGGGCAAGGATTTTGCGCAATTTGTCTTTAGCGGTGATGGCTGACACCCGTACGCCACGTTGGAACATCTGTTCCAGTATTGTTGATCCGCGAAGCAGGGAGTCATCGGTGATCATCTTGGTCTCGCCTGTCTTTCGATCCAAGAAGAAGTTTCCGGCAATTCCATGGGTTGATGGCGGTACGCCTGTAATGATAGACACGTTGTTCGGATTGGTGAATGAGGGCATGCAACTCTTAGAAGTGGCATGGAATCCATTGTCGAGGAATTTCTCGAAAGTTGGGAGAAGGCCTCTCTCAATACCAGACTTTAAGTATTCCGGATCGAAGCCATCAACACAAATAACGACTGTGGACTGTGTTGGCAGGCGATATTCTTTCGAATGTAGGGTAAACTTTGACCGGGAGTCTAGATCGATGTTTTAATATTTATATTAGTTTGGTAGAAGGTCGCGATCAGATACTCACCAATAAGACATTGGTAGGCAATTTCCTCATAGGCTTCCAGAGGAGGGACTTTGAAATTCGGCTTTTTCGCAAGATCATCCCATCGCCTGACAGAAAGCTTTGCCTCAAGCAGGGGATCCTGTTGGGCCTCCTGGACCTGTTCGGTGTTATATCCGCCACCCTAATCGTCGTTAATATACTTTGAATATTGAAAATATAAGAAGGGAAAGATGACTTACCTGGAATTTCAATGTCCGCTTACTGGTCTCACTCAATGCGTCATAATAGCTTTGATCCGTTGCGACCAAATATCGCTTAGCCATTACATGCGCACCAACCAGTGTGCACACCTTCTCACTGAACCCAATCTGGCGCAGATATGACTCTCCCAGAGCCTCATGGCTTTGTCTTCCAATATACTTGCCGTCAGGCGTGATCATTTTGCCCATCTTCTCGGCCGCGGGGATGAACCGTCCGACATCGTGCAAAAGTGCAGCCAGGATGACCTCGGGGTCATTTCCATGTTTGGGGGACTGTGTGGCAAGGTATGCACACTGTAGCGAGTGTTCTAGTTGGGTTACTTGTTCGCCGAGGTAGTCACCCTGGCCCTGTGCGTGCAGAAACTGGAACAATGTTTTAATGGTTACTCGAGTATGCTCCTCGACCGAGGCGAGAGGTTGCTTAGTCTGGGAGATGGTCATCTTCATGTTCATTTTGATGAATATTTTCGATTTCGACTTAAGAGATGGATTGAGTCTTAAATAAATCCCTCATGTAGGGTCTTGATATATTAAAAGCATTACAAGGCACGAAGTCCGTCCACGTGTTGATGATCTAACTTGCCCTAATAATTTAGAAGAATAGTTAGGCCTAACTTGTTTTTGGTGTCACGCTCAAAGCCTTTTTAGATGTCCTTTTTTTAGATATTTCCTCCTCACTTGTGTAGCTAGAATATAAATGGCTTAAAATGTAAAAATCGACGTTTCTACGTATAGTCCTTTGATATTCTCAAGATCTCGGCACGAAGCCCGTTGGTCTGTGCTGCATCCCAAGGGTCTCTGTCTG